TGCAGACATTGAACAAACACTTGCATGTGCCCATGCTGACCACCTGTGCTCTTTTGCGCCTCTAAGGAAATGTAGACAGCATCTACGCGCCCAAAAATTCCGCCGCTTGTCTCTGCATTGCTGCCGCGTAAGTCTTGACAGGGCTCTAAGCCACAAAAGCGGTTGCAATCAGGACAAAAAGGACAAATACGCACACCAAAAAGGTGCTTCAACATTAAATGTGTGAGCACGCGAAAACCATCCACTGCGGCCAGAGGATCCCTTGCTAAAACTTCGCGACGCTCTGCCCAAGACATGGGTAACGTGAACTCATATTCAAATGGCCCAGGCGTTGCAGCACTTGCTGTGCCGAGATCAGGGAAAAACATGTTGCCGGCTGGAAAATCTTGCGCGACAGATGCAGCACGTACAGGATCAGATGCCCGAACTCGTGTCATGCGAACAAAAAGCAACTGATGTGCCTCATCTGGCGTATAAGTGACGAACAACGGTACCCCATACCGAATTCGCATCGCCTGGATTTCGAACCGCATTCTCTTTCGCGCTTCCTGTGTCCCTGGTAACCCCTGCGCTGTATGTCGCATGTTCGTCAACAATTTTCGCGCCATCGGCTTCAGGCCTTGCACATATCTGAGCTTGGAGACATCTCCTTTGATTGGGCGCGGTTGACCTGTAAAATCTATATAAGAGCCCTTCAGGGCGAGCAACAAGTCTTGTGCCGCCTGTTCCAGGTGCTTTCCTGTCGGCTGCACCCACTCTTGCGTTTCTTCATCGTAGAAGCTCCGCGAGTATGCATCCGTTGTTCGGGACAGATTCAAAGCTGATCGAAACAGCAGATTCCACGACGTAAAGCCAAAAACCCAATCACGACTGACTTGCGCCTCGATGCGTCGCGCCATGACTTTGACCCATGTATTTAGCTCGACGTGCGGATCTTCCGTGTGGCGTCGAAGCCGTTTCCGTTGGCTCCACTTGGGCACATCAGGCAAACCAATGCCATATGGGAAGACAAAAGGAAAGGCTAAAGCAAAGTAAAGTGGCTGAAATTGATCCAAAAGTTTGGTGCCCGTATACAGTGTCACTTCTGGAAGAGGCTGCGCAGGCGCTGGCTGACTGCGGGTCACAATGTCTTCCAGTGCAGACACGTGTTGTGCATTTAGATCGTGACATCCTGCAGTTGTTTTCTCTAGAACGACCGCGTTCGGTTTCAGCAAACGTCCGAACTCACAACTCACTTGTGCTTCAGACATTTGGTCGTTGAAGGGCGTAGCTGCTTTTTGCCGCAAGACGTGATTAAGACTCCCATCGTTATCCAATAAGGCAATGATTTCGGCGGGAACGTCATTTTCTGGTAACATTTCGGCACGTGCTTCCACGAGTGCCATATCTATTCCTTTGTACGCAGGATGGCTTCGCGCAACCATTGTTGCGATTAATCTCACAACGACCTGACGCCGGACAACTGCTTGGTGAATGATGTGTTGACGCATCGCTGCTTTGTCTTTCTTGTCTCCTATTTTTATTATAACGGCAATTTTGTCACTTAATGCTTTGCCTACGTGCGGTAGGCAACCAGCAGGCGTATTCGATGCCAGTTTTTCGTCTAAACGTTGGAATTCGGACAACAAGTCTTCCCATGGCAACGGAAACGTCGTTGCATTTCCTTTGGCGCATAGGCGGTGCCGGTTCATAAATGCATCTTGGGCTAAACTCCGGTCTTGCAGGTAGCGCCATTCAATGCTAAAACACGTCAAGGCAGTCATGCAAGGGCTTGCACACAAGAGTTCTAAGACAGTGCATTCTTGCGCATAGATCTCCCGCGGTGGATGTCCGAGTATCATATCGTTGCTCAATGCTGCTGGTGGTTTGCTCCTATGTCGATACACATAGTTCCAACAAGAGGAACAAATTGGTACTTCGCAGTGTGTGCACACAGACTCCATGGAACAATGCCTGTAGCAAGTTTTGTCTTCGGGACATGCAACCACACGAATCGTGTAGGAAGGGCAAGACTTTCGTTGCGTTACATTGCAATGCATTGCATTGCACTACATTGCATTGCATAGCATTACATTGCCTTACATTGCGTTGCATTACACTTCATTACATTGCATTGCATTACCTTTCGTTGCTCTTCATTGCAATGCAGGGCATTGCATTGCATTACATTGCATGGCATTACATTGCATTACATGGCATTGCATTACATTTCACTGCATTGCATTGCATTGCATTACATTTCATTGCTTTTCATTGCAATGCATTGCATTGCATTACGTTGCTTGGCATTACATTGCTTGGCATTACATTGCATTACATTGCATTGCATTCCATTACATTGCATTGCAGTACATTGCATTGCATTACATTGCATTGCATTACATTGCCTTACATTGCATTGCATTGCAGTACATTACATTGCATTACATTGCATTGCATTACATTGCCTTACATTGCATTGCATTGCAGTACATTGCATGGCATTACATTGCATTGCATTGCATTTCATTGCATTGCATTACATTGCATTGCAGTGCAGTACATTGCATTGCACTACATACATTATTGCATTGCATTGCATTGCATTACATTGCATTCCATTCATTGCATTCCATTGCATTGCATTGCAGCATACATTGCATTGCATTACATTGCATTGCATTGCAGTGCATTGCATTTCAGTGCATTGAATTGCAGGCTTTCATTTATGGTTTCTTTAGGTCAATTTATGATTTCTTTCGGATTCATTTTGTGTTGCATGTAGGGGTTTCTGGCAGCAATTCATTCGGGTTTCTTTCGGTTTCACCTACGGTGTTTAAACTTTCATTTAAGATACAAACAGGAAAAAATAAAACAAAAAAAGTAGGATTTCAATTTCATGTAGGAATTCTCTGGAGATTTACATCTCTTAAAGGTGTTATTTCGAGTTTCTTTTGCGTTTCTGTCGGGTTTCATGTCGGGTTTCATTTAGGGATTCTTTCCGACTTCCTTTCGGGTTTAATTTCGAGTGTTATGTGAATTTCTTATCAGAAAATCTTGTCAAGGTTTTCAAACATTCATGTGGGTTTCTTGAGAGTTTCTTTAGAGTTTCATTTCGGATTTCGTTCATGAGGAGTCAAAAAAACACGGGGGAGGTCAAACAAACAAGGTGGGGGATCAAAAAAAACAACGCCCTCGTATACTTCGATAAAATATCATGCACCTGTGCGGCGCAACCATGCACCTGTGCGGCGCAACACTAGCTGTATAATAATAGGGCCAAAAATATCGTGTATATATACATATATATATTTATCTAACTATTATACAGTTACTTAGATCCATGAACCCATAAAATGAACCCATAAAACCATAGGATCAGAATATTAACATGTACTCAAATGAAAAACCCATTTACACATGAAAATTCAAACCTATCAAATTTATTTCACAACGATATACATGGCAAAAAGGTCGAGAGCCTCAAGGTGCGATACATTTCATTGCGTTACATTGCAATGCCTTACATTGCATTACATTGCATTGCATACCATTACATTGCCTTACATTGCGTTGCATTACACTTCATTGCATTGCTTTGCATTACCTTTCGTTGCTCTTCATTGCAATGCAGGGCATTGCATTGCATTACATTGCATGGCATTACATTGCATTACATGGCATTGCATTACATTTCGCTGCATTGCATTGCATTACATTTCATTGCTTTTCATTGCAATGCATTACATTGCATTACATTGCATTGCATTACATTGCTTGGCATTACATTGCATTACATTACAGTCAATTGCATTACATTGCATTCCATTACATTGCATTGCAGTGCATTGCATTACATTGCATTGCATTGCATTACATTGCATTGCATTACATTGCCTTACATTGCATTACATTGCAGTACATTGCATGGGATTACATTGCATTGCATTTCATTGCATTACATTGCATTGCAGTGCAGTACATTGCATTGCACTACATTACATTACATTGCATTGCATTGCATTACATTGCATTCCATTACATTGCATTGCATTGCAGTACATTGCATTGCATTACCTTGCATTGCATTGCATTGCATTGCAGTGCATTGCATTTCATTGCATTGAATTGCAGGCTTTCATTTATGGTTTCTTTAGGTCAATTTATGATTTCTTTAGGGTTCATTTTGTGTTTCATGTAGGGGTTTCTGGCAGCAATTCATTCGGGTTTCTTTCGGTTTCACCTACGGTGTTTAAACTTTCATTAGGGTTTTATTTCGAGTTTCTTTTGCGTTTCTGTCGGGTTTCATGTAGAGTTTCATTTAGGGATTCTTTCCGATTTCCTTTCGCGTTTAATTTCGAGTGTTATGTGAATTTCTTATCAGAAAATCTTGTCAAGGTTTTCAAACATTCATGTGGGTTTCTTGAGAGTTTCTTTAGAGTTTCATTTCGGATTTCGTTCATGAGGGGTCAAAAAAACACGGGGGAGGTCAAACAAACAAAGTGGGGGATCAAAAAAAACAACGCCCTCATATACTTCGATAAAATATCATGCACCTGTGCGGCGCAACCATGCACCTGTGCGGCGCAACATTAGCTGTATAATAATAGGGCCAAAAATATTGTGTATATATATAACTATTATACAGTTACTTAGATCCATGAACACATAAAACCATAAGATCAGAGTATTAACATGCTCAAATGAAAAACCCATTTACACATGAAAATTCAAACCTATCAAATATATTTCACAACGATGTACATAGCAAAAAGGTCGAGCTGCCAGCTTTGCTTCCTTGCCACTTCTTCCGGGGTCGGCGGCAGGGGCGGCAGCCCTTAAATAATATATAATATATAGTAATACACTCGTTAGGGATCCCCACGTGCCAAAGAGTGTCCAATGGAATTGTGGTTCCCCAAAGTGAGCATGAAGACTTTGCTAAATACATCTTGGCGCCAAAATCCACGTTCGCCTACCCCCTACTTCGCTACCCCCTCTGAACTTCAACTGGATGAGGTTTAAATCTGCCACCAGCTCTGAACTTCGCGTTGATAGTCTAATGATGTCTTAAGATATGAGAAGTGATGAGAATAATGGGTACTAGTAACTTGGTTGACTGACTCGGAACGGTAGATATTCTGTGATGTCATGGACATTATGGACGTTGGAAAGAAAGGCCTCTCCCACCACTGCAATTGGAGCACGGGCAAAAGTGGGGTGTCTAATGGAACCTTGGTTCCCCAAAATGAGCATGTTTCCTCCCAGAAATCCAGCACAAGGGTCCAGCTTTGATCCGCATCTTGTGCCGGCCAAACGAAGGTTTCCCAACTGGCTTCACTGCACCTGACGCCACAGATTGGTAAGAATGTGAGTCTAATATATCTAATATGAGAGGTGCGGGAGAACTGTGCGACTTGAAAGTTTCGCAGCCGTGTGAAGCTTCAGAGAGATCGACATGATTCGGAAGTGAAGTCCCCGGGCCTTGTTGAGTCGAAGCTGGCGACAACAAGAGCAGATGTTACGTCCTCGAGAATCCAGGGTAGAACGTGATATGTCACTTGAGCAAACGTAGGAGAAACGGCAAAGAAACTGCATTGGAGGAATGTTCAAGACACCTTCCATCTGCAATCAACATTACCAAGGTGATCCTGTATCTGAAACCTAAGTCATAGATGATGTGCAAAACTTGATTGGGTCCTTTACTCCGACTTGGACCAAAGACTGCCACCACACGTCTTTGGCTTGAGGTGGCTGTGCACGCTCGGTTGCGTATACCTCTGCCTTCTGGCGATGTTCCTGCACGGAAACAACAAACACAAAATGGCATACACAAAACATCTACATCACACACGACTACACACGACACACAGCCTCACAGCAGAAAAAATGACTCCTCTGCAAAGAAGGCAACATATTGCCAGCCAGGAGAATTTGAAAGCCACGGAGGTAAGTGGTGCGAAAGGTTTGGAAATTCACCAATAACTACCTTGGACCAATCTTTGCTACGTCTAGTCTAGACTCCCTCTTTCGAAATGAGCTCAGGGATATCCTTTGATTTGTGACATAGCAAGCACCAGTGGCAAACTGTCAGCTTTCTGAACTCAACTGCATCTTGGCCACAATAGAACCTCTTTCTTCAAATTGCGCCTGGAAAATTTGCCTCGTGATTGCTAAGCCATCAGGACCTTGGCATTGGATGCCCAACGGATCAAATCCTAGTCGCCACCTGCAATGTTCGGCTACAGGTCTATCCATTTTTGACCAAGGAGCCACCATGCACATAGAGTGATGTTTTGGCGTCTTCTGGAGCAGCAACAAATGGTGGATTTGCCACCTCGGTGTTGCTCTCACGTCGTCATTTGTTACTTTCCAGGTCAGTGGTAGTCTTAACGTCCTGAGGCATGCGCAATGAGATCAAAATCTCTGGCTGTCTTTCCCGCAGTGACCAGAGCTGAATAAAGGTCCCCCTGGTATGTGATGATCTTGGAGTCGAATCCATTGATGATGGCATTTGCCTGTAGCCGACATACAATGGTTCGCATTTGGCTTGCGAAGGGGGTTTCTGCAAGTTCACTAGTGCAAGAGAAACTTCCAAGGACGTACTAGCGCTTCAACGTAACTATGCTAGTTGTACTCTATACATACTATTCTACTATGGCACGTCAAGGTGAACGAACCCCCAGCCCCTATGTTTCTGTGTCACAGCACGACCAAACCACGGACCTCCCACTCCCGCCTTTGTCACATCGCAAGCTCGCTGGCTTAGATCAACTGCTACTGCTTCTGTAGCGCCACAACGTAGTGCATGCAATGCAGCTACCCCACTGCCACAGCAAAGGTCCAGGACCTCCAGTCGTCAAGATTCGTCAAGCAGGTTTGGGGCTGGCTCTGAGAGAACTTGCCAAGGATTCTCTTCGTGTTCTCAAAATGGAGTAAGATTCTGGGATCCCAGGCTCTCTGACCAGCCAATCCATCAAACTTGCCAAGGGCAAGGCACCTCATGTCATAGCTGGTGCACTGTATTCAGTTACAAACACGAGCTTGGATGACCAGAGGGTGATTATTTAATATTATTTATGTGTGGTAAAAAGTTGGATTATTTACTGATATTGGGGGCATGCCACCATTAATAGAGATTTATACACCCATTCTAAGCATTTCCAGTATGGGATGGATGGCCATACCCCATCCACATACCATGTTTTCACATGCTTTGCCCATGGCACATGCTTTGCCCATGGCACATGTGTTCCATGGCGCCAAGCGACAGCTCGAGGGAATCAGTACCTATCGCCATGACAGGCTCAGCTGGACCGACTGTGACGCTGGGCCAGTCCGTGAGAAGTAGAAATCCTGAGACGTCCGTGAGAAGGCCGAAGGCCGAACGGCAAAGTCCTCAATATAGAAGGAAAACCGAGGAACTCATACTGAAGCCTGTGGTAGGTTGTGAGAACTCCTGTCTATACACTAAATTATCATTAATATTCATTAATTATCCATGAGAGCATGCACTGATATCAAAGTGATACATGATCACATAATTGGCATCGCCAGGAAACCTTGGAATGGATAGACCTGCATGTTGGCCACCAGAAATCCAGGCAACACTTCCTGTGCACCGCGGAGTAGGGCCATATTGATGATTCGAAAAGAGAAAGCATCGAAAACACTCTGCAAAACGCGAAGCAATCCTCGAGCAAGCCAACCTCAATTAGCGCACCCACCTGAGTCTTCACAGAAAGTGAATGCAAACTGCAGATTTCGTAATCTGGATTGAAAGCTATGAAAACACTAAAACCTGTTGCGGCTTGATCTCAAGTTGGTTCAAATCTCAAGTCTGAGGTCTCCACAGAGTTTCCAAGAGCGTCAACGGCTGCCTTCGGCCAAGCTTCGCCGACGCACAGCAGCCCTGCCAGGACCCGCGCAAATGAAACTGAACCATCCGCCATCGATGACCATTCCTCAAACCTGAAAACATCGGCGCAGCAGGAAAGAACATGCTGTCAACGTCTGCTGATGCTGCACAGAATTGCATTGTGGGTTTAACAAGCACCAAGGAGTATACATATGTTGCTATGTTTCTATATACATATATTGATATATCATGTTATATCAATGTGATATATTGATATGTATATATATAATTATATATATATATATCATATTATATCATAAAGTTCAACTAAGTTGCCTCAAGCGATGTAGTTCGTTTCCAGTGGCTCCTTCTGGGAGAACACTTCCCAGCCCAAAGGCATTGAGCATTCGCAAGGCCTTTGCCATCTTTTCGGAGGCTGCAAAGTCAACACGACCAGATGCCAACAGGACAGCACGCTGTCGGAGTACATGGCTATCAGCACCCTGACCACCATGAGACACCTGGAAACTTCCAAGACTCTTGTCTCGGAGTCTTGGTTGCATTGAAATTTGACACTGCTTGATACTCAACATTCTCGATGTGTGTCATTTCAAGATATTTCAAGTCCATTTTTTAGCCCACTCTAAGCCCCTTGTTCTCTCGTGTTTCTCTTGCTACGTCGATCAACTTCCAGGTCTCTGACAAGCTCTTGATTCAAGGCTTCACGCCAGGTCTCAGAAGCTTCCAGACAGCGGCCAGCACTCCGCAAGCTGAAGCCCAAATTCCTGTGCTCCCACGGCTTCAAACGATTATCCTGACCAAAGTATACAGCAATTTACCTGATATGCAGTGTACATGAGAAATAGACATTTTATGTGGTAGACCTCAGTGAAGTCTTTTATGTGTCGCATTGTGCACCTTATGTCCAAATCCTCGTATTCTCTGTTTTGATTAAAGGACATGTATTTGTTTCATGATGATACTATGTGATTTGTATCAGAGACTGGACCTGACTTGGCGAATCTGAGGCTGTAAAGACTTCCAATCCTGTCTATACCTTTAGCACCTCTGCCTCGGATGAACGACGAGCGGCAGCAGCACGTCTTGAGGCACACGTCCTGCAAAAAGCGACAAGCAGCGCAGCCAATCTGTAGATCAAAAGGAGGCAATGCAGTGTTGACAACCAGCATGAAGGTGCATCCATTTCCAAGACTTGAACTTGCGAATAAAAAGAAAAACATAGAAAAACAAGTCTTGCTCTTTCAAAAGATTTGGCTTTCAGCCCAGAAGCGCTCCTCGTTCCCCACTTATCGAAGCACTCTGCCTGTATGCCTCAATCGCCTCATCATATCTGCCCTCATCGTCCAACTGGTTGCCACGGTTGAACAATGCATCTGGGTCAGTCTGAATGGCTTCCATCAGCAGCGTGCAGCACAAGTGAAGACAGTGAAGAAACAATTGTGATGGACATCCTTCGTTCTGTGTTGGTCCTTTCTATTGTGTTGTGCTTGGGTACAAGAAAAGAAAGGAACAGAAAGGTCCCTGCAGAGGATGCTTGGGGGTCCCTTCCAACTTCTTCTCTCTACACAGTAAATCAGGTTTGGCTGTTGAGAAGTGCTGTTACGCACAAATTCTGAGCCAGAAGATTGGATGAGTGCTTTGGCAACATGTTCACGTGCAAGCTATGGCAGTTTCTGCAGTCAATCAAACTGTGGCCAGAAGAACTCTTCTAGTACCTTGATTCCACAGATCCTTTGATATATTTGACAGACATTTCCAGCACTTTCTCATCCTTGCATCGGTTGCCTCCAGTTTGCTTTCCTTCTCCTTCGTCGGCAGGTCTTTGGTGCTTGGATCGAGCGGAATCTCAGCCTCCGCGACAGCCAGCAGAAAGGGGCTGATCGTGAAGGCTTTCTGAATTCTGAATGAAGGTGTCTTTTGCTGCTACACGAAGAAGTATATAGTGTTATTTGCAACCACATGGGCTTTGAGCTATTCTAAGTCCCGCAAACATCCATATATGAAGCTGAAAACTCAAGTACACAAAGGTATCACAAGGGTATCACAGGGTGCTCTCGTTCAAGCATAGACGGCTCCTGGATCAAAGCCCAGTAAAGATGAAGCAAGTTGAGCACCAGCCAGTTCAAGCTCACTGGTACAGGTTTGTTCACCTGAAGTGTGGCAGGCAGCTTCCAAGAGTTGGAAAGCACAATAATCACGGCTGGTTGTGAGCCGAGTCTACGTGGTTGTTCATATGTGTTCACTTTTTTTCCTTGTCATGTTTGCCTGGCACTGTGAGAATGCAACTAGTGCTTCAGTGCCGAGCGAAGAGACATGCTAAGGTCTCGGCTTTGCGAGACACCATTTCCCACGAGCTCTCCACCGAGTATTCCATAATTTCCTTTTAATTCAGTGGCAAAAAATGGCATGCAATTGAAATTGCATGCACAAGAAATATGCTTACTGAAACAAGCTGAAAAATTAGCTGACTCGGCTTGGCAATTTACCCAGCCAAGAATTTGCAAGGATTCACACTGCTACAGCTACACTTATTAAATGATGTAACAATATTGATTGTAAGATATTGTAAGGACATGCGCAGCCGGACAAAGATTCAAGCTTGTTTGAAGAATGTTTGAAGAATGAATTCTAAGCGAATGCAAAGCTCTCGGATTGGCAATGACTTGTCTCTGCAGTTTGTCAGTGACTTGCCTGCAGCAGGGGGCTCTGATCTTTGAGCCGATCGGGCAAACGCTCGCACCTCAGGTCTCAAGCTGTTTCAAGCTGTTGTATACCCAAGGAAACCCAAGGAGTGAGGAGTAAGGCCACAGGGCAGCACGGCATCAATCTGGGTTGAGGGCCAAGAGAGCATCAGCACCTGCCAACCAATGTCTTGCTGCTCGAGGAACACCATGCCGCACCGAGAGACCTGAGAGCCACAAGCCATTCCAGAGAACTTCATATAGCCAGTTCATGTTCGCTGTCGGATGCCATCTTGTCCTTAGACTGTGAAACTAAATAAACCTGTAGTAGCTTGTTTGCCTTTTCTCTAAACTGCGATTTATTTTGGAGAGGTGTCAAGCCCAATACCCTTATCTACCATGGGCATAGGCACGGGTCTCAGTCTTGCAACCGTCTTGCCAGGTACCCGTGCTGTTGCTGGTGATGCCACAGCCAAGTCTTCTACCTGCAGTCGGAGCAGGGCCATGTCACGTTGGACGAAGAGGTGTGAAAACTGCCCTCAACTTGGCAACGCATCACAACAGCGGATTGCGCCTCGAACATCATGGTCGTCACCGGCGTCAGCCTCGCCCAGGAGTCTCCATGTTTGCATGAGATACGATAGCTGATAGTAGCAGGTTTAGTACCAATAGCCTTGATGATTTGACAGCTCAGCTGAGGGAGTAGCTTGATGATCTCGCCACTGTTTAAACAAAGCTTTTTGTTGTCATCCAGCACGGTGTTCAGATTCTCCACCCAAACCTGAGTAGATTCTTTGTCGGTGACCGAAGACAACCATGCAAGGTGGACCAATGGATTAATGAATTGTCATGTTCTTCGTGAATATCCACTTTCATGTTGTCAATGTTCTGGCAATACCCTCTGACTATGACCAACCTGTTGCTGTTGCTAAGGCAATGTCTGCATCAACGGGCCCATCCAGCAGGATCCACTGGCGCTTGGTCTGCTCAGCCGACGATGCATACCGGACGGTGAGGGCAAGGATTCCATCCTGGGGAAGGTGGGCCAAGCTGGGCCCAGGAGACCAAGAGCTTCTGACAGCCATAGCTATGCAGCTAGACATCGCCCAAAGGGATGTGCTCCAGCTTTGACCGCTACATGAGTATCCCACCGTCCATTCTTGAGTTCCCTCATCGTTTTCGCCATAAAGTTGCCCCTGTTTGATGGACCTTAGCATGGCGCAGAAGCTGCCAAGGATCCGAATGGCCAGAGAACTGGTCAATTCATGGTAGCTGTTCAAAGTGACTGGACATTTACCAAGTCTGAAACTTGGGGTTGATCTTGTGGATCTGCACCTTGCAAGGGAAACATGGTCAACGGTCCACCATGGAAAAAAGGAGACAACTGGCCAACAAACAAACCCTCAGCAGCTGCATGGCACCGGCAAATAGTTCTCTCCATCTGCCACAGCCCCGAGTGCAGCAGCCAGCACCTCAAGAAATACAACTACTGTGTATACGTTTCTCACACGTCCAATTGTATCATGACTGAGGAACGAACATTTTCCACCTCTGTCTTGCCAGACACAGTTTGGCCAACAAGCATCAATCCATGACGCACCATGATTGTCTCCCAGAGTTGGATACCTGTCATGCGCCGTTCAAAACCACAGTATGGCACAAATCTTTGCTCCAACAAACACCGCAGCGAATACTCTGAGATACTCTGAGTATCAAAAGCATTCAAAATCCGCCAGTGCTGCACTTCTTGATAAAGCCTTCCTCTGGCTGCAGTATCAGGCTCCGAGCACTGCCCTCCAGTTTACTCAAGCCACTTGTCAGCAAAGATTGACGAAAGACGGAGCTCTTGAGCTGCCCGTTGCAAATCAAGTGTTAACTTCCATATTCTTCAAGTATTTCAAGTGTTAACGTTTCCTTCGATACTCTATAAACGTTTTGAGCTCTATCATACACGCCTCCAGCTCATTGATCAAGACTCCATAGTCTGATGGAGGAAGCTCCACCTGTCAGGAGTGAAAAAAATATGAAAAAATAAAATACTCACGGGTCAAGGGATGTCAAGGGCCTCAAGGGACGTCATGCCATGGTAAGGTCTTTCCAGTGATTGACCCATACGGCCTCGGGGAAGAGATCTCCAGTGATGCCCAGGAACAGAGGAATGTCGTTGCGGGTGAACTTTGGCAGATTGACCTTAGAAAGAATTCTGAGAACTCTGAAAGCAATGGGAGAGAGGGGCCCTCCGTAGTTCTGAGCTTCTCTGTGAAGCTGTGACAGAAGCCATTGATATGATGAATACATCCAGGTGACATCGTTCAACGCAGAGAGCGCCAAAATTTGCTCTTCACGTGTGGCTCCGTAAATCCGGCGAAGTGCCCCCGCCTTTGCTGCAACACCACTCTAACATCGATGCCGGGCTTTCAAAATGACATTGAATCAATGGCTACGGTAGGGCAAGCCCATGTGCCCCTATGTGCCCCTGGTCTAAGAGCATCACCCTCACAAGAATTGATTTCAAGGCCCGCATCCCAAAATCGTAGTGCTCCTGAACTAAAGACGGTGATCAGCAAGAAGTATCAATGACAAACATTCACAGTCATACAAGTCATACATGTAGTCTTACATGTTTTCGCGAAAGCTCCACTTTGCTGACAGAAGGTATATATCCGTTCATGTCCCCATTTGTTGACACTTTTGCAGCTTTTGCAGCAACTTGTTTCCTGCGAAGACAGCTGCTCTGAGCTCAGCCGGAGGCTTCCGACTGCCTTCAGAGCTTGGCAACCCACGACGGTGGTGAAAAAAAATGCAAGCGTCTCCCAAGCACTCTCTGAAATGGGTAATGAACGTGTCTTTGTGTCAACACTGCTGCAAGATTACATCACCAGCCTTTCGAGCAAGGTTCTTTGCATCTTCAAAGCCTGAAAACGACGAAGCTTTATGCGCATTGCAACTTCGAAGTCAAGGCAAACATGGATAACTCTGCATGAAGGTTACAAAATGTTACAAACAACTCTGTTAAGACCCAAGTCATGTGAGGCAAGTGTATCCATGTGTATCCATGTGTATCCCGAAGAGATGGTCGACAAGTCACCATTGGAATACAGGACGATCTCACCAATAAGGGCGTAGTCAGGAACCTTGGATCCAACAGCGCACTGGGCACGGACGGAAACTGGCCGCCCTCGTAGCCCTCAACTTGAGGTACTGGCCATCATCGCGCACGGACGGAAAAGTGCCTGCGAATGCATGCGTTGGTCAATACTGGCGAGGCTGGACAAATGAAGGCGAGGCTGGACAAATGAAGCGTCTCATGTGACTTACTACCTGAACTGATCCCAAGAAAATCCGCACAGATCTGAAGTAGATTGATTCGATTGATGATTGAAGATGAGTGAAGATGATTGAAGTAGTATGTTTATCGTCGCGGTGGGACTTGGGACAGCAGGAACGGCAGCCATAGCTGACCTTCAGGTTGTCTGGCAGCTCTGATCGTCCCGCGTAGCCTCCACAGCACAGCTCTAAGAGCAAAGACTGAATGAACTGAATGAGGCAACTGAACAAAGACATTGAGAAAGACATTGAGAAAGACATTGAGTTGAACAGGTATCACTGGAGTCTCAAATGTCTTCGCCTGGATTCATTGTAATGTTCACAGCACAGGATGGAATCAGCCTTAAAATCTGGCACAAGAAAGCAGCCGAAACTTCGCCAGCTCTCGGGACTGATTCAGACCATGTGCAATCATCAAAACGGTTTAGAAGACTTCTGGGGCAAGTGCTTAATTTGCGTGTCCTCAAAGTAGAAGATGTCCTTCTTGTCCCGGATAGCAAATTGGATCGTTTGCACCTTCTCCAGCCAAAACAGTAAGCTGTAGCTATAAAAGCAGCCACTCCAAGCATCCTTCCAAAACACTGGAACCTTTAGAGTGGAATATGCATTCCTATCGCAATCTTCTGATGTCACACGAAGATACCGACACTGAAGAACAGTGTCCATGCCTGCTGCGACACCACAGAAAGCACCTTGACTTTGGCCAGTTTTGTCTTTTGCGACTGCTGCATGTGTCTCTTCAATACCACATGCTTCAATGCGACCCAAATACACATCGTCTAGAGACAAATCAGAATGCAAAACAAAACCTTATCTACTGCACCTCCAAGTTGATGCGATTGAACTCGTCAAAGCAACACCAGGCTCCCGAGGAAGCAATGCCCTTGAAGAACTTGCCCATTGCCTTACAAAATGCAATGCAAACCGATGAGAACCGATTGGGATCTCTCTTAGAATCTGGAAGGATTGTTCAGTCCCAAAACTAAGCTCTATACAACATAGTCCAGACCATCTGAGCAGTTGAAGACCTTGTTTTCAAGGTCCAAAGCAAGCAGGTCCAACGTTCCGGTACGGTTCGTAGGGAAAGTGCATGAGCAAAAGTTTCGTCAACCAATCTTGCCATTGATTTTTGAAGCGCCTGAAAGGGACTGAGCTGAGGTGTCAACAACACACTGCACTGCCACTGCTTTCGCAAGGTCCTGAGAATGTTCAATTTTGGTACATGTTTGGCAAAAAGCATCTGGATGCCATTCAAATGGGGAAGATCGGTGGCATCCAGGAATATCCAGCAAAAATGTGCAATCAAAAAGGAAAAATGTGTGGAAATGTAGAAAAATGTGGAAACATGTGGAAAGATGAAAGGACGCATTTTATCGCATTTTGTGATTCTTGGACACCGCTCCTTTGTGGACTCAGTCTTGCCAGTCCCGGCAGGACCTTCTGGGCCGCCACCATAGTAGAGATGAAAGGCACCCATGAGCCTGTCATTGCTTGCAGTGAGAAGCTAGAGTCAGGTCTCAGTCTCCCTTCGTTGAAAATCCTTCCGTTACCTCAGAAAATATTCTTGTTGAGCAGCTGCAGATGAGGTGCTGTTATACTGCTCGATTAAGTGCCACATGTCCAAACATGTCAAGCCCACGTACGGTAGCACCGATCTGTCAAAGGTGTGATCACAAGTCCTGAGCTCAGTGGTCATTAGATGTCATTTTCTCAGAAAAATTGATAGCCGGAAAATGGAGATTGGCACATGTCAACTGGATCTGCCATTTTGAGGCCAGGAACTATCGCTGTTCCCCAGGTATTCGAAGCCATAGTACAACGTTGCATTGATGATGGAGACCTGCAGTGTGAACATGTCAGGAAAGTTGAAATTTGGCATCTCATAGGCTCGGAAAAACGTCCACTGCACACTCATCGGGCCTCGCATTTGTCCACTGTGCTTGCCTTCCCAGTGTCCTCCGAATTCTTCGCAAACCGAAGTCAGGAGTGTGGACATCTACCCTGGAGATAGCAGAATCCATCAGAATCCTAGGGTGTCCCAATTGTCACCCCCCTGCGTGATGGTCCCCACAGAAACTACCTGCTGCGTGTCGTCCGCACCTTGAGGGTGATGGAACCCTTCTGACGCCAGTAGTATCGCAATTGTGCGATCCAGTCAAATTCCTCCCAAGGCACACCAGTTCAACTGCTCATAAAAGATCATAAAAGTGTGAAGTGTGCTTGAGAGGGAATCTCAACGAATCTCGCAATTTGGCAGTGGAAGACAATGCAAAGAGATGCAAAGAGTACATCTTATCCTCACCGTTTAGAAAATATCTGCGGTGACAGAAGATTGGCATCCAACTCAGCTCTCAACCTTGGAAGATGAAATTTTGGCATCTTTCAGGCTGTGAACCTGGGCGATGGCACTTGGGCATGACAAACCCTCTAGGCTGCTGATGAAAAAGCATTTGTTGAATCATGTGACGAAAATATGTTGAATCTCCACTTCTAAGCCGACAACAACATCGCGATTGTGCACATCAATGGTGACCAACGCTCCCAGCGTTTGCCTTCGCATCAAAAGCATATACAGGCGCTAGCCCAAACTCAGTGCGAGTCCCTTATTTCTATTGTTTCACATGATACCCTCTGTGAAGACTCATGTTGCCCCAGATAGTGAACCGACCCTTTTTGAGCATGGGCAGCATGGGCCATTACGGGTCTTCTTGAACCATTTAACATCATTTAACCATTTAAACTTGTGTTTTACATTTTTTACATGACTTTGGTTTGCGCACCTGCCCAGCTTGGAGAGGTCACCACGCACCAAGTTCACCAAGCCGGTCAGTTGGTCTGGCAAGACATTGGAAAGGAGTGTTACGTCAGCACAGTTGCACAGTCAAACACATCAAACAGCATCCAATGCAATGCCAACACCTTTATAAACTTCAGCCTTGAGGCCATCGTACCATCAGGTTTACTTCCGAGCTTAGGGCATGAGTGGTACGAAGTAGAGGCAAGAGCAGAGAGCAAAGGTTCTCACCATCTACAGAGACAGGTATCTCACGAAGAATGGCAGGTTAGTTTGCCTACAGACTTCTGGTGATACTCCTCCAATTTGCCAGACCTTACACTGTCACCAAGTGAATGCAGTGAATGCAGTGAATGCAGCTCAGGTATGCTCAGGTCAAGTTGCCTATCTCGCTGCTCAGGTCGAGGCTCGATTGCAGCAGCAACCTCCTGTGTCCAGTAGATGTTGTCAATGCAAATGACCACCTGCACACTGGAAGCACGTTGCCATTGTTGCTGTATGTCGCTGTCACATTCAGCCGCGCCTGTCCGGGCCATTCCAAGACCCACTTCGTGCCTCAGCATGTGCTTAGTGTCTGCTTTCTCTTAGGAGTTGCGCGACGGCATTTCCCACTTGATTGCGGCCATTGCAGCTGCTTGATTCGTTTGATCTACCATGATATATCAGCGACGGCTGTGTTTTTTCTTTCTCGCTTCTCGCATCCTCTTGCTTCAGACCCAAGAACTGCAGAATGGCGTCAGCCGAATCTTCTCCAGAACCAATTGCTCCTTTTGCATCAAAGCAGCACCTACCCGCGTTTCTCGTTGGCAAATATAGTATATCATATATCCAGGAGCTTTATTGGATAGGGACCATCTATTCAAACAAAACAGACAATGTCCTTGCATGTAGCCGGACCAACGAGGATGGAAAGCTTCTCCACCAAAGAAAAGCCTGTCTTTCTCACGACCACTGCTGTTCAGGTATTCCATCTGGTGCAACTCCTTTCCATCTGTCCCATTAGACTCAGACATCTCTGTCTACTCTAGCTGGACCCCAGATGCTCTGGCTCTCCCAATCATCTTTTCATATCTTTTCATATCTTAATCTTGTCTTGCACACCTACTACTGGTTCTCTATACATCAAAGCATGATGGCACACGCATCGTCCATGTCCAGACCTTCCATGTCTCTCGTTCACCACATCCCAGCCGTCAGGCATAGATCCAGTAGGCAAAAATGAATAGGAACCTCTGAATCGAGGATCCGAAGACCATTTGGTCGCCTTCCAAGCAAGACAAAAATAAGTTCTGAAACTACAAACTCTGCAAACGAAAACAAAACTCTGAAAAAGGGAAACAAACATAAACAACTCAAAACAAAAATAAGTTAATAGTAACATATAAGAACTAGAAACAACTCACAACGATTCACAAAGTCTGAAAATGTCGCGGGTTTGATTTTGATCAGACCTCGGCCACCAGGATGTTGGGAGGTCTTTCGTACATTTCCTGGCAACCCCACTTAGAGAGAGAGAGAGAGAGTGCAGAACTGACATGAACTGACCAAAGTGCAAACTATGCAAAATGTGCAAACTGTGCAAACCCTAAGCCCCTAAATGCCCCTAATAAGTGTAGACCACCAAAATTACATCCATTTCTGGCAATGTTGGGGATGGTTTATTTATGGCATTGGGTTTACCACATGAGTTTCTGAAAACCAATTCACTTGCCCAGTTTCTGACAAACATCCTTCTAGCTCCCTTTTAAGCTCCTGAGACACACCAGCTTTCCCAGCGAACCCACAGCGCCAAATGATCCCGCGTGGTTTTTGCAAGGCAAAGTAGCAGCACTACAGGAGCCGTTCATGAAAAGAGTAAAGATAGTGAAGCATTGCAGTTTGTTGTGATTGATTGTGAGATCATAAAGAATCATAGAAAGAGTGCAGAGGGATTTGCAAAAAAGTCTTCCGTGCAAAAAGGTCATTGAAGTCATCCAGTCCTCGGGGTCAAGCTTTTCCACCCGCCTGCCCTCATCCCCAGTGTTTGTGACTATGACCAAATCAGGTGCTAGCGGTTGCCACACCTGCATGGCAGAACCAGCGTGGCAAACAACATGGCCGCTTTGAAACAAATCGCAGCTGAAAGCTCCTGGATCACAAGAAAATTATGCATATTGCATCATATTAGGCTGCTTCAAAATTGCTCTTTGCAGTCACAGTGTTACATTTGTATGATAACTCGATCTCTGAGACTCCTGCCACGTGCCGTCCGCGTGGTTTTCCAACCCTGATAACGTACTGCTCGTCATCCACCTTGTACCACAGATCAAAGAATTTTACGCATGTCACATATATGTATATATATATATCTGTGTCTGCCCCTGCCTTTGAGTCTCACACAACAACTCCTACGACATACCTGTGCAGCTTCCAATACAGTAATACACGTCCAGCTCTAATGTTGCAAATGGCAGCACAAGCCTTTGGCTTCCCTTGACCATCTCACAATAGAGACTTGAGATACTTGCTTTCCCAAAAGACACCACATCCAAAGATAAAATGCACCATTCGAGAGCCAGAACGCTGTCCCATACACTATCGGCATAAGTTGAGACTTAAATCTAGAAGCCTTGATACGAATGTCCATTGGAAACTTCTGACAGAATAAACTTTGTTCGTCAGCTAAACCTTTTACCTTGCAAATTTCACGGACCGCCAATGGTGAGCATACCGAGCCACCCATAAGGCAGACTCCAACTTCACAAATGTCTTTGTATAATTGCACATAGTCCTTTGCGTTTTCAGGAGGCAAAGAAGCTCGAAATTCGGAAATATTTCTAAAATAAGACTCCAAAAAAAATAAAGCAAAACACAAGCCACGCACAAAGTAATACATGTCTTCCAAGCTCTAACCTACCCCTCACAAGGATAGCACAATGAAAGCTTAAGAGCTTTAAGAAATGCATTGCAGCAAGGACTCATTGAGTTCAATGCATCTTGCATAGGGAGTGGCAGAGGTGGATCAAAGAGAATGTCCCGAGCATTTAGGACACCAACACTCACCTCAAGCCATCAGAACACTCCCTGACATTTGCGCTCATGATAAAGAACCCACCAATCTCAGAATTGCAGCATCCAAGTAGCCGTGCAAAGTGCCACTCGACTCCAGACCTTGAACCCATCCTTGCATTGGACCTGGCGAAGAACTGACGCACTCAGCCTCAGAAGAGACGTGACAAATTCAGCGTCAGTTGTAAATCAAGCGAGGGCGACCTGTACGCAATCAGGCAACTGGATAAGCTCCTCGACGATACAGTTGTAGTACGATCCAACTCCTGAAAGTCCACAGCACAAAGGTACAGGAGACCGGAATGAATCCGTGGAATTATACTAGTCCAGTGTCCAGAATCACCGCCCTCTTCTACCGCTGGGACGTCTGTCAAACGCCATCAAAGCACTTTTTTGCTTTTAGCGATGTGTACTGCAAGCAATTGCCCAGTCTTGATCTCAGTGCACCCTGCACTCCTGTTTCCAATTGTCTCTTGCAAAGGTCGAACAAAGGAAAACGTATTGCAGCAGTCCGTCCGATCCATAGTAAGTTGTCTAACAAGAGCTTCATCTCAAGTTCTAAAGCTCATGGAAGAAGGATCAGCAAACCAGGAAAGGCTCAACCTCGTACCACGTGTGTGGCAAGCGAACCTCATGTATTTGTACTTCTTGTGATAGTTTCCCGGGCATATGTCTGAGTCATGGCTTCGAGGCATTTGCCATGTTGGAGGTTGAAATCTTGTATTGTTGACCTTCAACATTCACGGGGTCCAAACAGGACTACGTGATAGCACTTCCGCTTTCAATCGCTCTGAATCCCCGTCTTGCGCTTCTAAGTGTAGAATGAACGAAGACATTTCTGCTGGCATAGGTGCTGCAGTTGATCGAACCGGGGGTTCATGCCTTTCCGGGCCTTGGTCAACTCAGAAGTAAAAGTAAGTTGGCAGTTTAGCTGAGAGGAAAACTCCGGGGACAGAAACAGTCAAAAAACACCAACAACAAAAGATTGTTAGGAACCCAAGGCTCTCATCGGAAAAGGCTCCCGAAAGGACAGTGCAGCACAATGAAGAAAGAGCCGATCCACCTGTCTCAGCTTCTGGGAGTCTTGCCGATACAGACTATCGCCAACCTGATGTCGGTGAGATTAACGTTGGCATCTGTTGGGATTAGTTGCGCCTTGATTAGAAACAAAGACAAATGAAGAATTCCTAACTTTAAAACCAGAGGAAACACATAGAAGTGGGCAGCCAGGCAAGCAACGATCGGATGACCAAAGTGGGCGAGGTGACTACGAATTTGGTGTGTCCTTCCCGTCTGAGGCTCAGCTAACAGCAAGGTCATATCTCCTTAACGAAAGCAGTATCAGAAAGGACACCAGAATCCATTTGACAGCTAAAAAAGTGAGAAATAAAAGCAGAATGTCTCAAGCCAGACTTATAGCTAGCGATGTCCTGGATTGCGCTTTAATCACCTACCAAGTCTCCATTCTCTGCCGATCTCAAATGCGCAATTGGTCTTACATAGGTTCTTGAAGGCCTGGCAAGAAACAATGTACAGCACAGAACAAGGACAGAATCAGACAGAACAGCCAGCAGAGTCCTTCGATTTGCTTGTCTTTGCGAGCTGAGAAGTTTTCCAAACATCAGATAGAACAAGGAAGATCAAAGGAGGAGAGTGGTTTCAGCGTGTGGGTGACATATTTTGAGACACGAGCTTGAACTTGCGGGGAAGGGGTACTTGTTATACGATGGTGTCTTCGCAGAGTTCCTTATTTGAATGTGTTGACATTTACAAATTCATACATGCTACAAGCGCGGAAATGAACTATAGTTACCATAGCATATGCACTGCCACGTGTTTCGAAGGAATGCAACGTTCGCGATGCACTTCGATGTGCGACACTGGACATGTCCGTCAATGTACTACAACGCTCTGCAAACATACTACATCACAATATATAGTTCTGAACTTTGAGGCCTCACCATGATGACGAAACATTTCTGTCTTAAGAGCCAACTCCGGCTTGCACCACATGGTAAAACAGCGGAGGCAGTGACCAGCGAAACCAATGCGGCAAATCGGATCACTTGACTAGATTTTCTGAGACAAGTGCATGAAGCCACAAGGCTACAGATGGCTACAGATGGCTACAGTATCTCTCGTTTCTATTTGTGGTTGAAGCATGCCCTTCAGAGCTCACCTAAACCATGCACCCGACATGCCCGTACTCTACCTTTCGCACAACAAATTGATGATGTTCAAGCTCTAAGCTGCTTAGTTTCCCCATCAGCTATCCATCTACTACCCAGTCAGTAAAGTTTCCTACCGGTATCTATGTATATACATATATATATATGTGTGTATACATACATATGTATATATATATGTATACATACATGTATATATATATACACATACATATATATTTATATACATACATATATGTATATGTCAGCAGCCGCTATGTTTTCCTCCACAACCAGAGCTTATCAGTTAGATGGGCTTCCCATCCATTGTGGACTATACAGCTACATCTCAAATGCTCACCATGTTTTTGGCCAACACCACGGCTTGTTGCCGACGACCCCTGGCCCTCACCAGGAATGAGCAGCCCCCTGGCCCTCACCGGAACTGAAATCTGCAGTCATAGACCGGCAGGTTCCCTCAAACAAGCTAAGTGACATGTCAACTGATTCATCATTAGGACATGTCAGCAGCCGCTATGTTTTCCTCCACAACCAGAGCTTATCAGTTAGATGGGCTTCCCATCCATTGTGGACTATACAGCTACGTCTCAAATGCTCACCATGTTTTTGGCCAACACCACGGCTTGTTGCCGACGACCCCTGGCCCTCACCAGGAATGAGCAGCCCCCTGGCCCTCACCAGGAAATGAGCAGAAAATTTGAAGATGTAGCAACATGACATCACCTTCCACGGACTCCTCTCTGGCCTGGGGCCGAAAGAATAAGAGCAAGCTCCTTCATGTAACTGCGTTGAGCATCAGAAATTTGGAGGTGACTGAGCGTGGCAGCTGCATCTTGCAAGTAAATGCGGGCTGTGGTGGTTGAAACCCATCGCCCACGCAAAAGTGTGGCCTCCATGCTCTGCTCGGAGATGAAATGCCACGTGGCGCCACCACGCCGGAAGCTGTACAAAGAAAAGTGGCCAGCAACTTGAAGGTGTTGAATTGTGGTGTGAAAAAGGTGCCGGAGATCTGCAGGAGAGCAATCAAGAAGTTTGTCCTTGGGTTTTTTGTTTTTCAACGCAAGCCACAGCCAGACATTGGTCACATGGCTGTGACAGACCACCATCTCCGTCGCTGCTTTTCGTTGGCCTGTTTTTGTGCCGTGGAGCGAGAGGATAGCTTTACCCCCGGCCCATGTAACGTGCTGCTTTTGCAAGGCGTAAAGTTCGCCAGGGCGCAGCAAAGCATCGAAGGCAACCAAAAAGGCAGCTGCAGCAGAGACATACCCAAGCCGGGCACAGGCACCGCTGATGGCCACCACCATGAGCGGGCTGATGGGTAGCACGCGCACTGGCGGCTCCATCTTCTGCCAAGATTTGAGCAACCTCCAGCTGTGTCGCAATTTCCCGGCAACCTCAGGGACGAAGTGCTGTAAGGCAGCTAATCCATCTGAACCATAACCTTTGGGATATCCTTCAGAAAACACATGCTCCAGGAATTGTGCGGCAGCCACGTCAAAGTCTTCCCAAGTCTTAGGCATGGTGTTACTGTTCCTCCAAAAGTTCAAGATTCTTGCCGCCGCCACTGCATACCTCCCGTGGAGGCTAGGACTCAGCACCTTGTCTCCCAAGGTCAAACCGGACCGCTTTTCCTTGCGCGCTTGCCGAAGTTGCTCTTGCTGATGGGTTGTCGTTTTGCCCATCTTGAAGGCAGGTCCGACGGATTGTCCCCACTTGCTACGTACGCAACAGCCAGCCTGATTTCCCCTGCAAGCAGCAGGGAGGAAAGCTTCTGAATAGCTCTTCGAAGACGGTGGCTGGAAGTCCTCCCCTTGGAGATAACCGAGGCCACCACCTGGTTATCTACCAAATGGAGAACACGGTGCCTGAATCTAGACACCTTACGAAGCCTCCATTGCAGCGCGTTCACGGTGGCTTGCAGCTCTAGCACATTTATGTGACTGGGATGTCGCCATTTGAAACCATTGATGATTTTCCAGTGAAAAAGCGAAGATCTGATACCAGCCCTAGGCCAAGCTCTAGCTCTGAAAGGTATACCTACATCCAGCTTTACATCAGTGCCACCTCGATCCCCCTGTCTGAGAAACTCTTGAACCAGCATGCATGCATGAGTATCAGGTGAAGAGTTGGTCACAAATTGTGGCTTAACACACCAGGCAGTAGAAGCTACTTCATCCCTGGCTAAGATGCGGTCGAGTTGCCGTGGCTTGTGTGTTGTGCTGAAGTGGGCCAGCAGCTCATCCAAGAGAAAAGTGATGCAATAGACGTTGAAGGAGTTCCCAAGCATGCAGGCGCCCTGGTCAAAGGCCTCCATCATGGTAAGCTTCGGACTCAGTCCTTCGGAGACATATCCGGCCGGAAACCCCATCAGTTTTTCCCGTTCCATCACTGAAGGCACCCTCAGCACACCATCGGGCCTCTTCACCAAATGCCAGACTTCGTACTGGTACACTTGAAACCTGTAGTTGTCAGCAGACCATCGCTGGATGGCATCTGATGAAGCCGTTTGGACCCCCGCTGGTTGGCGAGGCGGAGTGCTTCTTGGCAGGGCCCTTGTGAATGTTGGCAGTGGCATATTGCTCGAGTGGCTGCACCCGTTATCTAACCACCAGTTAGGATCAGTGCAAAGGTCAGGGAATTTCCATTCACGATATGTATCGTGCTCCACCATTTCCTCTTGCCCCCGAGCTGTTATTGGCCAGTCCACCCAGAACAACCTGGGCCTACGACATTTGCTGAAGGCTGTGCAGTCAATCAGAACGGGCTGATGCCCCAACGTCTCGCTGAACTGGTCCCTGCTTTCTTTTGTCATTGAAAAGACATTTTCAACAAAGGTGAAGATAGGACAGGCAAACGCGCGCTTCAGGTCTTGAAAGATTCTGGGCATCTCAAAAAAGAGTTTACTACGCGCACCTGCAAGCCCTTCCCTGCCCGCCAGCAGGGCCGTTAAGTCCTGACAAGGGCTGCCGCCCCCGCAAAGGACAAAGTCAATCTGGTACCCTACGCTTCGGGAAAGGGTCTCCAGCATTGAAGCAGTGACTTTTCGAACATCGCCAAGTTCCATGACACCTGGCCAACGCCTGCGCACTAGGCGACAACAGGCCTTGTCCACTTCCGAAGAAGCAAAGGCCACAACTCTGCATTCAAGCCGACAAAGTGCGCACATTAAAGCTGCAATGCCATCGAAAAGTGAGATGACTACAACTCGGGGGCCTTTGTCATTTTGCATGCTCACCGCACCTTGGGGCTGAAAGGCCGCACAGCGCGTCCTTTTGTACTCAGGTGATTGCAGCTTGTTGAGCTCTGCCATGCCCAGGTCTGTGAGCCGCCCGCTGCTGCATATGCCTCCTCCATGTTCACTGGCATCAGAGCAAGTGACCAACCCGCTGATGGGAGCACGCAGGTCCGCTCCTGCTAGGCCCAACATGCAGACTGAATGAAGAAGTTCTTGCACGCCTTTAGCACTCAGCGGCTTTCTGACCTTGGGACCTTCTTTTGGCCAAACTGTGGAAAGCAAACACATCAAAGGTCTCCTGAATTCAAAACGGCGCACCAAGCGCCCCAGCACCATCAAGAGGATCTTTATGGGGGGCCTGTCCAACCCTAAAAACCAGATTGCAAAGAAGGCCGTCTCCATCTTCTTCTCCAGGGGCACTCCCACCGTGCCATCCAACCCATTTACTTCCGCGCCCATCCTGATCACTCTGGGCTGTCTGATGTGGGCCTTATCTTCAGCTATACCAACCCCCCCAGCTATGGTAGGCCTGTCGCTGTCTCTTATGCGTCTCACCCATAGTGCCCTGCTTACCTTCCCAGCCGTCACTGGGAACCAGTTCCGGACAGTCAAAGTCGTCCAGGTAAAACTGGACAAACTCTAATACATTGCCATCTGAACTTTGTGGCACCGGCCGGTCTCTTCTCCATTCCAGTTCCTCCGGATGGCCCGCACCAACAGGAGGCTGGAGCATGCCAAGGTTCCTGTGCAAATGCTGAAACAAGCTAACCGCTTGTATCCAGCCCATGGGAATAACTCTGGAGGCCACGTACTCCCATTGCTTCTTTGATCCCACCAAGTGACCGGGCACGGGCCAGCAGAAAGCCATGTACGGACGCCAACAACGTGGAAGTTCCCACGCATAAAAAGCCCCCTTCTGATCATCTCCGCTCCACAGGAGGACGTGATTCGGCTCCAGCACCAATTGCGCCCATGCCGAAGAGCCGGAGAGCGTGCTCAAATCTCCTGCCATCAAACGCTGAAAGCTATTTGCTGGGACGAAGTTCATGATCAGTCGTGTGACACGGCACTGGCCTACACCAGCCTTCCCGCGCTTCTCAACAGCGAATGCTCCATTTAGAACCGGGGTATCTCCTACTTTGAAAATCTCCGTGTAATCAATAGGTTCTATAATGCCCCTGTGGAACAAAACTTCGCAGATGCTGTACCATTCATCTTTGGTGGCGTTAATCCTTGCTTTGGGGGGCACACCTGGCCAACACTCAGGCGGTTTCAATGTCAACGAGGGATCCAGCACCCACGCTCGAACATCGCCAGTTGCAGCATTCACTGCACTCAGCGACCCTGCCACGCCTGCCACCGGAAGCCCCGGCAGAAGTTCTTGCAGCCTGAGCGGCAGGGCGTGGGAGACCTCTTCCCCGGAATAGTCAATGGTTTTACTTCGCACCAACTCGTGAAACACAGGGAGAGCATGAACTTGTTGGGGATCTTGACAAAACCTCTTCAACCACCTGTTAATATTGTCCATAGCAGTACGTTGAAGCTCTGTAAGGTACTTGTTGGTGTTCCCCTCATAAGTCCAGTTGCAACACATCCCATTAAGAACTATTATCACCAGACATCGCCAAACTTGTAGGGAGCCCTCAACCAGAACCTTCCTACGCTGCTGTCGTCCCCTTTTTTTCAGCCCGTCGGTGGCCAAGTCTGCCACACACAACAAACCATCGCAAAAAGATCTGGCGCATCCTATCAGCTTGAGTGCAGCTCCAACAGGGGGCAGAGGCAACGGCAAAATGTCTCTGACCCGGGATGGTTCAGTGGAGGTAAAAGACATCTGATCCAAAAACCATTGTCTTAAACATTGCCCATCTCGTGGGCTCGCCAGCTGGAGCTGCAGCAAAGACACACCCAATTGTAAAATGGTTGGCTTGAAGGTGCTAATCCTTTTGCATAAACTTTTGAATGAGGATGCCTGCAACAGCCTGACATTTAGAGTGTTCAAGAAACAGTTAAGGTCACATCCACCTCCAATTTCATTGCACGCTAAGGAATCAGGCACACTAGTCACCTGGGAAGCTGTGCGGTCCTCCCCAGGAACTTGTAAACATTCGCCGCGCATTACACTGAGCTCAGTCGTCTCAGCACCACGGCAGTCTGACCTTGCAGACTCATCTTGTGGACCTGCTGCAACGCCCCTTGCCACCACAAGGGCTGGTTTCTCAGCTGGTCCACCCCCTGCCTCCACAGGGGCGGATATAATTCGTTGCCCTGCCGCCACAGGGCAACTCAGCACATCCCCTGCCGCCACAGGGCAACTCAGCACATCCCCTGCCGCCACAGGGGGCTTCAGCCTCTCTTCCCGCTGCCCTTCGAGCGTCCCCCCTGACCATGCTTCTCCTCCTCTCGTCTCTTGTGCTCGAAGACACGGTTCTTCCATTGGGATCTGCTCTCGTTCTCCTTCCTGGGCACGGCTTCTCGTGCGTCCTTCATCCTCATCAGACCCAGTCTTGGATCCTGTGCTGGCTCCGGGATGACGCTGGTCAGCGGGTCCTGGAACCTCACCTGTCTCTTCAAGGGGCTCCTGCTCCTCGAAGGTGAAGGCTTTTGGCCGCGCAACGCTGGCTTCCTCCTCGGACTCAGTGGAGCTTCTGTCTTCACAGTTGTATGAGGGCTGGGGTGGCGTTGAGGAGGTGCAGGCTGTGAACGCCCTGCCACCTCCCCGCCGAGTCCCTAGCCCAGGGCAGCGGCCTTCTTCAGCAATTCGCTGCTCTTGGCATCCTTGACCGCCATGCTGCGAGCAAAGTCTGACTCCTCCAGCGTCGATGCAGTTGGGTGCAGCTCAAGGGGGATGAGCTCCAAGTACTTCGATGCAGCCGTGGGGTGGTCGCGGATAGACATAAGGATGGATTTGTACCTCTGCATCAGCATGTCGGCAGCCATCAGCACCCGTCCACTGACGACCAAGTCCAGCGTGCTTGCCAATGTCCTTAGCTCCCTCATTGTCTCCTCACCTACCTGCTTCGGATCCATCTGAGGGATTGCCGTGGTCAGCAGGTATCGCAGTGCGGCTGGTTGGAGAGCTTCTGCTTTTGAGCCAGTGGAAGCCGCATCGCCATACAGGGTACCAAGCTGCTCATGCATCAAGGTGAAGCCCCGCACCAGGAGTGTTCCTGGGTTGTCAGCAGACAGCTTGCGCAATTTCCGCTGACGGCTGGTCAAGTCGTGCTTCTTGTTCACCTGCAGCTCATCATCCTCACTATCACTTTTCAAACTGCTCGACTCCTCTTGGCTCTTTTTTCCACGGAGCACCTGCAGGGCCTTGGTGACCTTCTCCTGTTCACTGCTCTTCTTTTTCTTCTGGGCATTCCTCTCCAAACCATCTTGCACGCGTTGCACCAGCACTGCACTGGCCGAAGTCTTCTCCTCCGCCTTCTTCTTCCTGTCCTCCAAGCTGGCACGAAGCTGCTCCAACCTCCTGTCATTCTGCAGGGGGTCCTCCAGATCATCCCCCAGCATCGCGTCCAGGGGCGAAGGCTTGGTTGCCTCCTGGCGTTTCCTGGAGAACTCACCCACACTTCCCCTAGCCTCCTCCGGCCTACACCGGGGGGAGCGCGAGGAGTGCCTCCTACGTCTACGACGCCTTGCATTGGAGCGCCCTACATCCTGGTCTCGCTCGTCCTTGCTGTCTTCACTTCCAAAGTCCTGGTTCTGCTCGCGTCGCCTGGGTGACCTCTCCTCATAGGACGGGGGGCGCTTGGCCTTCCTCTTGGAGGCGGTTGTCAAGTGATCCTCAGGGCGTCCCCTTGAGCTCACTGGCGCCGTGCCCGGTCCTACGGGAGGTCCATTGTCCAACTTCTTGGCTTTCCATTCTTTGACTATGCTGTCCACATCAGCCGAAGTCACAAAGGCTAGCTTCTGAATATGCACAACACCACTTTCGCCAACTTTGCGTCGACAGGCACCCAGGCTCTTTCGGCACACGTGGTGATACCGTCCTGAGCCGCCTTCTGAAGTAATCCAGTGTTGGTAATATTCATCTGAAGCTGCCACATACTCTAGTTTCAGGAAACCACCGTCTTTGTCTCCCTGGTACTGAGTCATGATGCGGGCAACAGCATAGCCCTGAGGTTGGCCTCCATCATCCAGGCACTCAAACAGGATGTGATCACCTGCACCATCCCACAGGCTTTGGAAGCTGTCATCGCTGCATTGTTTCACCTCTCTCAGTCCGATGCCCCCTGCCATGATTTGGGCAAGGTGAGAGAGGCCACACCTTGAACTGAAATCTGCAGTCATAGACCGGCAGGTTCCCTCAAACAAGCTAAGTGACATGTCAACTGATTCATCATTAGGACATATATATATATAATCTACTATTCGACTTGATTTGTCCATGACCACGAGTTCAGCAACTAAACATGTTTGAAAAGGGTCAAGTCAAAGATAAAGACGAATCCAAGACAAATAATGTCAAACAGGCTAGCTACGGCTAGTTTAAGTTGCACCGCATTTCAAACATTTGCCTTTGCCACTTTCAATGCTCCAGGATGCTCCAGGCCTTCCAGCCTCAAAGCAGACTGCTGACTTGGATTGAACCGAGTGTGGAGAGTGTGGAGAGTGTGGAGAGTAGCTTGAGTTGCTGAAGTGGTCGGAGCGCGTTCGTGGAACTCGAGTTATCTTCAGAGGCAGATCGAGTTCCCTCTCGATCTGGAGAGGCAAAACTGTTCCATGGACGACTGCCAAGTATTGTCGTTTCACTTCTTGCGCGGCAAATTCCAAGCGCAGCCTCCAATAGCTTCGAAATGTTGTGCCTACAAGCATGGCACCACTAGTCTCAACATCCAATCTGTGTGCCAAGCCATTGTCCGCAAAAGGGTCTTGGAACACTGGAAACTGCTTGAAAGCTTCCAAAAACTCGGACAGGCGAGGTACGCCGTAGATCTTGGCACTGCCACCAGTTGCACAAGACCACCCAGCAGGTTTTGATATCAATAGAGTCTCAAAGAACTGTGCAAGGATTTGAGGCAAATGACTGACAGAATTCGTTCTTGTCAGATTCAGGTCGTTCTGGTGGCTTTCGAGTGGAGCCGAAGCTGCGAGGTCCACTGCTCTACGAATTTCACACAAGAAGTCGTCATTCAACTTCTTGCAACTTGCAAGGCCAGACGCGAGATCCAACAGTTCCGCAGCCTGGAATGAGCTCAAATGGCAAGCAGCCAGGTCACGAAGGTGTGTCAAGCCAGGGCCTGTTGTTCGGTCTGTTAGGTTCCCATACAGCAGGCTCACCAAGTTTGCAATTCCCCTTGGTGTCAGCACTCGAGATCTTGGAGAAAGTTGCAAAAGGTGTTCTTCCACAAGTGGCATCAGCTGTTTTGCGCATGGTTCCTTCTGGAGGACACTGACGTAGGCTGTTCCTGCAACTCCTGTGCCCGGACGAAACGCGGCTAATCGCGAGACAATCTCAGCAGCCAGCCATCTCAGCACTTGTTCGGCCTCTGCCCGCAGCAGCCCTGCGTGAATACATATGCCTAGAATGAGGCTGTTGCCAAAACAATCTCTCTGCTCAAGTCTCTTTCGTGGCAAAGGCAATCAAAAATGAAGGAAAATAAAGAGTGTCCAAAACAAATTCGAGAGACATGCTGCATGTACGGTTCGTGGAGAAACTGCAAAAGCTTCTGGGCGGCTGCCAGCATCATGGCAGAGCCAGAGCCCTTGAAGCTGTGTCAGAGCTTCTTGGGCTTGCTCTGTTGTGCCTGACACATAAAGTAAGCGTACCAAAGCCTTCAAAGAAACCGAGACCATTGGCTGGCGCTCATCACCCAGAAAACATCTCCTCTCCGGATGATCTTTAAGAAGTCCATGGAGAAATAGACTTTCGGGGCTGGGGTGTCATGTCAGTTCTTTGGATGAGTCAGTCCAACTTCCTCTGTGTTTGTGCCAGCTTACATATCTGTTTTGCATCCTATGGTGCAGGTTTGCTGCCAGCCTGGAAAGAGTTGCACGGCTTGAACTAGGCGCCTGCTAGCTTGCACTTCATCACTCCACGAAGAGAACCGTCGTCCCTCTGGCGGCTGAAAGGGACCAATCTTAGCGTGAACTCTTTGAAGACTGTGACCTCCCCTCTGGAAGGGAATCGTGTGAGTCAGAGCCCGACTGACTTCTTTGGCTCTCGCATATCTGTGCATTGAAACAGGGTAGGCAGCCCTGCACATGACATATGCTGCTGCTTGCCTAGGCTCTCTGATTCTTGCTCTCTATTGGCCTTTGTACTTGTGCGGCCATGCGGGAGGATTGCAATGCGATAAAGGCTCGATCTCAGAGGCTGAAGAACAGGAAGATTGGACTTTGAGTGTCTCTGAATCTGATGATTTGTGGTAAAGGATGTTACAAGCACAGCACAGGAAATTTTGTGGGATCCATCCAAAAGGAAATCAGTCCTTCTGGCACTTCAGGACAAATTGAAGCCAACCCACGGCAATCATCCACGAAGAAGGAATCTGGACCTTGACAGGTTTCAGGTGAGTCATTGACTAGGGTTCTTTCCTGTTGGTTTCACTTTTTGCGAGAGGAAAACACATTCCATCCGTGTCTACCATGTTTTTTTCCACACACTTTGCGTTCACAAATCCCAAGGCTTGGGCCAAAGTCGTCCCATGTAAACTCACCATGGACGTTGTGCTGCACGGAAACCTTTTCTGGACCTTGCAAAACAAGAGTTGGAAGCGGCTTTCCAGGCATTTGGTGTAGAGCCTTAAGTCTTAAGCTGCCCTTTGAGGCAAGAGTTGATGTGGTTGTAAATGATTCGGAGTTTGTTTCATGACTAAGCTGGTCACTCTCACCGTACTCAAAGTCAATCTCTCTGAACTCAATGGCCATGTCAATAGGTGAAGACGCTGGTACCCAACCTCTTTTTGACAGCAAGGCCATTTCCTTTCGGTGATGTTCTGCTTAAATCCACACCGAGGTGAATTTTACTGAAGAGCATCACTTCATGACACACTGGCATATTTTTGCATTCCTTCAAGGCTTCTCTAGCATCATCCGGAAACAAAATAGTCCATCGGTTTATCAACTACCTCTAATTTGCAGATTTATCAGCAGCGAAAATCGTGGACTCCAGGTAGAGAGCCTTGCTGTGCCAGTGCTTGTGCCAAATCCTGGTCAGGACCGTCAGGACCACCCTCTCCACTTTCTTCATCCTCCACCTGAGCCAATTCTGATGCACATGGCAACAAAAGATTCCTCTGGTCCCACTGCCGATGTGCTTAAAGAGGCTTATGACAAAGAGTATCGCAGAAGACAAAGTCGTGTTGATTTCATGTTCCGACAGAAGAATTTCAGAATGTCCATTTTCCATCATTTTCCCCTCAAATGCCACCTGGTCTGATTTTTTGCAGCTGAGAGCCTAACCAAACTCATTGCTTTCTCAAAGGCCTTTCAACTGGAAGATTCATAGGGAAGTTTGACAGGGCGGACTTCCAAGCCAATCTTCTTGCGATGGGCGGAGATCAGTAATACTATCTGCACTAAGTGGATGTGTCCTATGTAAACATGGAAACCCGAAAGTAAGATCGTCCCACGATACAGAATCCATTTCAGCCAAACATCTCGACAGATTCAAATCCATTTCTGTCACAAAGTCACAAAAATACCATGCTGGCAGCCAAGCCACCTTTGTGCGCTCCGTTGCTTCCTTTGTCATGTCCTTGCTGCACAAGTGCTCTGAGGATCTTTGAGGCATACTGAGGATTTTAAGAAAACAGCAAGTCATCAACCAGCAAATCGATCAATGTCCACAACACAGTGGCGATAGCATGTGTTTCTCGGACTTGGACTAGACCCGAATCAAATTGAGCATAATCCTGAAAAATGCAACCCGCACAGTACAAAAAAGACTGGACAATAATCTGATTTCCAGCCAAATCCTCTGGAAAAAAAGTACTCACTCATCTCACTCAAGGGAACAGTTCTTTCATGACACCTCACAGCGGAATAAACCACAATTTCACGGGCCCATGTCAATCATGTCAAGCTGAGCAGCTTCTGGCCCTGCTTTTCCAAGGCCACGAAAACTCACACGGTCTTTCGAGTCTACCTTGTTCTCGCTCCCATCTTCTGTCTTCACCTGCTTCATATCGCCCCTTCAGAGAGCACCTCAAATTCCAAGGTAGATTCAGGTAGATCGCATGGTAAAGAGTTTGTTTATTCGGTCGAAACGTCGTGTTCAAAGCTACGGTGCAGCTGCGTTGCTGGACTTTCTGCCAAACTGGATTCGTGCCCAAGCCTTGCACCCAGTTGGCTCCTGGTGGCTGAAGGCGGCAAACGGATCTCTACCGATCCCACACTGAGTAAAATTACCAGGCCTTCCTCGACCCAGCGGCCGCAAAAGAACCGGCCACGCAGCCTTCCTTGCACCAGATGAGCTATAAAACTTTTAAGAGAAAACGATTGTCTCTAGTATTCGACAGATCTAAGCTCTGATAGTAGCTTTTTCACTCCTGCGAAACAAGGACAGATTTTCTAAATCCTGGCCGAATGCCACAAGCCAGGAACATCTTAGCGTCGCAATTCTTTGAAAACCTTGCATCATCATGGTATTAAAAATGGTATCATGATGGTCCTCCTGGTGAAGAGGATGCCTCCAGTAGGATGCACTTTAGGCCAGCCGCAGAGAGCCTTTCCAGTGCCGTGAGTCCAGCAAGGCCAGCACCTGTGAACAAATTGAGAGAAAGGAAGGTTTCATGCCCTGCGCATCGACTCAGACTTAGTCCATACAAACGAAAAGGACTAAAGTTTACTAAAGTTGTTTGACATAGTGAAGTTCCAAGTATTCAACTTTAACACTTGCGAGAAACGTCCTCTGTTGAAGTTTTGGGCCAATCGAATTGTGTCACAGCAACATACAAAATCTCCCTCAAATTCAAAGAGAAACAGGGAGCTCTGCCCTTTGCTCTTAACCTTCTTGAATAAGAAACACTGAGGTCATGTCAAGGATATGTCATGCCGGAACCTATCACGCACACATCCACCACGTCATCTGCTTCCAATGCTTCCATCACCAGCAAGAGGTGGCCATCATTGCAAAAATGATCAAAGAAGATTTCATAGCAACAGCTTGTGTGAAGATGTCTGGAGGTGGGATTGGCATTTTGCGTTTCCGCACGTTTTCACTGGCCAATGCTTGAATCTGCTGCAACAATCTCAGCAAAAAAACAAGATATATATATATATATAGATAGATAGATAGATATGAATTCTCTTGCTCTTTAGGCTATGTGGTCACTTAGCAGAGCCGAAATGGGTAGGACCAAGTGCTGAACAGTAGTTGTGCCATTGAAATGTCCCAGTGCTAACATGACAATAAGAGAGATTTTGAGGCCCCTGCGCTCGTTCTTCGCATATGCCAATAGAGAAGCAGCTGTGACTTTTGTGAGTGAGTCAATCATTGATCCTGTTGGCAGTTCTGTCAGGTTTGAGAAAGACAGGGAACAAGACGGACGCGTTGAAAATACGTTTGGATTCAGGAGTCACTTCATATCTGCATGAAATGTCGCATCCGTCGTCTTCATTTCAAACATGTCAACCATGTCAGCAGAACCTTGCACTTCCATGAGCCACTTCTCTACATTTCCTTTCCTTGGTGCCAAACATATCTCGGGGAAATCATATTGCATTCTGAGTTGACTTGAAAAACGCATTGATCCTGTTGAGTCAAAGAAGACTCTTTTGGATTCGTGGCAATCACACATGAAAGCCAGCTGTGCATTTCTCAGCGCTCAACTTCTCCCCTTCAACCACGTTCACTGGCAGAGCCAAATCAACCACTTCCCCCTCCACTGACCTTGAGTTGCTGTATGCAGAAATTGATATGTATATGTATATAAGTATTCATAATGATACAATTATGATACAATCATATATATATACAGACATATAATTACATATAGATCTGTTAAGAGGCATGGATCTGTAGTCTGCTTGCACATCTTCTGACAGTAAATTGCTGGGCTTAGTGCGCCATTGCTTCAATGATTTCATTCGTCTTGTTGAAGCGGACCCTGCTGATTCCTGGCATGTCAAATTGACCCAGAATCAATGTTGATTGAAAATATTGAAATATTGATTCAATTGGTACAACAAACTGCCCCAACTGATATCCGGCACAAATTCCCGAAGTCTGCTGAGTGTACACGGCTACACTGTACACAGCTACACTGTACACTGAATTCGCAAGCGGGCGAACCTTCGAAGCACTTTCCCATGTGAGGTTGGACCTCAAGCAGCCAATGGCTCAACTGATTCAACTTTGATTCAACCTTTTCAACCTTCCTTTAGGACTTCCTTTAAGACTTCCCTTAAGACTTCCTTTCCTTTCTTTCTGTCCTGGTTTTGGTCAGAGGTAATCTCAGGAGATCACAGCTGTTGGGTCTTTCGTCTGAGAAAGAATCATCAAAAGTTCGTCCTTCGATCGATTGACCAACCAAGACTGCCAGTCTCCAGTTGTTCAAATTAAAAAGCCTTTCATGGGCAAAGCATGATATTGAGGAGCACAAGGAAAGTAAAGTACCGTCCACGGAGACTTCCCCACTCCGGTCATTGGAGAGGAAAAAGAACCGTGGGAAGTCCAAGCGCTTCTTCTCTAGGTACTGGTTGAGTCCTGCAACATATAGTCTTTTGCACTTTGCTTTGTTTCAGGCAAAAACACCATCTTGCATGATTCAGGTAGCTTGATGAACAAGTAATGAAATTGCCTTAATTGAATCAGTCTGATCACCCTTGCCTTTCTGGATCGCATCCAATTTTTTGTTTGCATCCACAAAGCTTGCCAGAAGGTTCTCGATCTCTGAAACCTGCAATTCGAGTGAAATGTGGTGTCTTTCTCTTTGGGCTCTCAAGCGACGAATCACAACATGATGACAAAATGTGTTGCAAGTAGTAAACATCGAGAACACTGTGTTCCAGTCTTATTGAAGGCCGGGACATCCAGAACGTTGGGGTTTTCGGACACGGTCTCCATGGTGCTGCGCCAAAGAACATCTACCTGCCATGGAGCAGGAGGAGCTTGGGGTTCAAACACAAACTATGGTTGTCTAGCACCAGAACCCTGCTTCAGGACCCACTTTGAAGAAGGTTGATGAGAGGTTGTATCTCCTTAGGTGGACGCATCTGTAGGATGCCCGCAAATGGCCCTTGTGCCTGTTGAAACCTCTTGGCTTCCCCTGGCAACTGCTTCTGGATGTCGTCAGAGGTGAAAATGGGCCTTGCTTCGAGGCCATGAAGGTGTTTTCATGTGTTTTCTACATCAAGTGTCCCTCCTCTGTGCCATGTAGCCAACAAATTTATACAAATTTGCCAATAAGACATGATCTGAGAACAACGTGAATAAAATTATTCTGATCTTTGCTCACTTTGGAAGGACATCTGAGAAAGTGGCTCAAGGTACAGCCATGAACGCTGCATGGCCAGCCATTGCTCCAGGAGGTCTTGGATGAGTGTCAGCTTTGCCAACCAGTCCTCAATCTTCAAAGCTTTCAAAGACTGTATGTCGGTATGTCGGATCTACCATATGTATACTGTATTCATATGTGGGAGGCACGAAGGCATCATTGATCAATGTCTTAAGAATCTGTTTTATCTTCTCAGCTTCTCCTTGACCTCCTTCTCAATTGGCTCCACCTCGGGATCAAAATGATGGAGTATTGCGCAGTTTGCTCAGCATTTGACGATTCAAAATGTTCAAGGCTGTGGCTTCAGCAGTACTGCCTATATATTTTCTTCTCTTGCGAGATCTTCTGCATCAGCTTCGGACGAAGGGAGAACCACGAATGCCCATGGTTTTCACAATGTGGTCGTCCAGTACTGCCTCTGCACTTTGCGCTTCAGTTTACATGCCGAAATAAAAAGAATCCCCTTGCATCTTGGAAATGTCTGACAAGGCGGTGCCTGAATCTCGTCAATCCCCTTCACCATGTGCGTGCCCGATCTGTGTGGTACCAAGCCAAATTCAATAGGCCTCCACCTGACCATGTGGACGGTGACAGAATTGCTTGTCTCACTATCTCAGACACCCTACCAATGGATCATTGCTTGTTCTAAATCCATTGCCAAACAAAGAGGCTCTGGCTCTTTCTTCATCATGGTCAGGGCAGTCTTCAACCCATGTTCCTTCTGCGCCTGGAAAGCAGCAGAGCTTTTCATCAATTCGCAGCTGCAGTGCTCAACGAGCCAACAAGATTTGAAGCCAAGAAGAGTTGCCTTTACACTGATTCGCTCCAGGGTGTCAATGTGGTCCAGGATACCAACTTCGAGCATTTGCTGCAAGGTGATGCCATCCTTCACACATGGAATGCGGACAAATGGCTGAATGCTGAGGACAGATCTACAAAGCATCACATAGGACCCCGCAATCTCACAATGTCAGAGGCCAAGGCACCTCCATGTCCATGTCCAAGCGCAGCTCTTCAAACAGGTCTGAAAAGTGTCGTGGCTCGAATGCCTCTCAGAAAACTCTCTCGATTTTGTGTTTTCACAGGACTAATGAAATTAGTTAAGAACTCAAGAAGGGTTGGTTTCGATGAATTGGGGCTCAAAATGGCTCAAATAAGCCTGAATACAAAGAAACTCATCGAAAAAAGACTGGCCTCTTGACATAGGGCGCGGATGACAGGCCTGGCATTCTGTCATTTCACACTTTGACTGCACCCTATGCTCTCATCCGCTATACTTTTGTCGGTTCAAACTACAAGGGAAGTTGTTTGCTATCCAAGCTTGTTAGAGGAACATGTTGGCGCGGAAAGAAGAAATCTCCTCGCGCAAGTCCTTCAGCGGGGTGTGAGATTCGACATTGCACCAGCTCAGGGCCGTCCACAATTCGTGCAGCAAACTCAAGAACTGAGAACTACTGTAGAAGAACTGCTCTACAATCCGACAAATCTCACAGATCCTTGGCCACAGCAAGAGGGTTTTCATTTCCCTCGAACTGTTTGATGGTCTTGTAGCTCTCCTTGTACCTTCGCCATGAAGATCATCAACTCGTCACAACAAGCACATGGCTAATGCCATAGTTGCCAAAACTCAGTTTCCAGCTGATCTTCAACGACGGTCTCGATTTCTTCCGCCACCAGTCTCTGCACCATTCCAGTCAGCCACTCTTCCTGGGAGATAATTCAATACAGGAGAAGGTCGTATCGTCGTATAGGATCCACTTACACATACATGTTGCAACATAATTATATATAAATATATCTATATACAGTTCATATGTAAATACATGTAATATATACGGTATGTATACATATACATATACACCTTGTACAACTTTCAGGAATCCAGACAAATCCACTCGCCTCTGAGTGCTTGAAGTCAATGGCACTGGTCCAAAGCTTGTAGTATGGTTCGAATGCCTTAAGCAACTTTACAAACTGCGCAGGCTTGAAGGCTGATGAAGTTGCATCAGGTGTAGGAAATATTGATCCGCGCAGGCGAAACTGAAGTGGTTTCGAGCAAAGAATGAGACACCTCTGACAGAACACAAGTGCCAAAGATTGCCAAAGTGCCTCAGTCATATTCTCCACCACAGAGTAGTCTGAGACGTCCATGCCTCTGTCCCCCGTAGGAACCACCACTGTTTCCAGATCGGCAAACATCATTGGATGGGTGACTAGACACTAATTATCAATGCTTTTTGCACCATTTTGACTCAGTTTCATCTCTCGCTGCATCCAATCTTTGCCGTTTGATCTGTTTGTCACTCTTGTCATCTCTGAGTCATCTCTTGTCTTTGAATTTACTTCTTTTTGGGACCACCGGATGTCAGCTGTGGTTCTTGGGCTGCCCAGCCAAACAAGCGCTCGCGGTCCAAAAAGCTCTGAACCCGCTCTTTGGCACGGTCCAGGTTCTCCTGTGATACAGGCCAGAAGACTCTCTGGATCAATCACGGAACAAGATGAACAAGTATGGTCAAGTAAAACCCAGAGGGATAGTGAACCAATGACCAAGATGTACCAAGTAACAAGTCTCTTTGCTGCAAGGGCAGGGGGGGGTATGAGACACCACAGGAACAGTCCCGCAACGAGTAGATTCGATGAGCACACTTCATGGCCAGAGAGTAATCATTCCTGGGCACACACCAAAAGCATCCAGAACGCCTGCAAGGATGGTTAGCACTGGCTGAGCTTGATTTCAATATGCCGCCCAGCAGCAGACTCTTGACCCACTCAAGATCCTCCTGGTATCTTGCCATGTCACGCTCATACCTTGGAAGACACTCCACACCAACTCATGCGAAACTTGAACATCTTGAACATGCACAGGAGTCGTGCTGAGGACTGAAATCCAGGCCAGGAAAACCTACCAGCGTTCTCAAATGTCCAGAATATGACCAAGCTGCTCAGTCTTCTCTCGATCCAGCTTTTCCATAAACTTCTGCTTTTGAGAGTCCAGACTTCGCTCCTTACAAAGCTATACAAAGCTCAGGTCTCAAAGAGATTCGAGATATTTCGAGATATTTTTGCTCTTATTCCTGTGCTCCGTCCGATGAAGATCCAACATGCTCAACAAGCACCTGTACTGAGGACCCGGCCGAATCGCCCACATCAATCTGAATCTGCAATGGCCAAGCAAACGAGGAAAAGGCACGCTCGACGACCTGATGATGTTCACTGCGCAGGAACATGATCGTTCTCCTCTGTGGTCACCCGCGAAATGAGACAGTGCATCTATAGTCGGATCATAGTGGCGTCGGCATCGGCGTCGGCGTCGGCGTCTGCGTCGGCGACGGCGTCGGCGTCGGCGTCGTCGTCGTCGTCGCCGCCGCCATCATGATGATCATCATCATCATCATCATGATCATAACAATAATAATCATAATCATCATCATCATCGTCGTCGTCGTCGTCGTCATCATTGTCGTCGTCGTCGTCGTCGTCGTCGTCATCGTCGTCATCATCATCATCATCAGCCATCAACATCCATCATCATCATCATCATCATCATCCTCGTCATCGTCGTCGTCGTCGTCGTCGTCATCATCATCATCATCATCATCATCATCATCAGCAGCAGCAGCAACAGCTCGAGGGATGCTACTTGGAGGGCTGAAGCAACTGGACTGAGCCATGACAAGTGGAAGAATCGGTTCCACCTCATACAGGGAAGTGTCCCGAGAGAGAGAGAGAGAGAGAGAGATGCGACACAAAATAACAGGGAAAAAGGATGAAAAAGGTGAGAAACCACTTGTAGAAATTGTATGGGCTCGAAGACAGTCGAGCATCGTCATTCGGGAAAGGAAGGGCATGCACTTGGAACCTTTGTGAGTCATCAGAAGTTTAAAAAGTTGCTGCCTCATTGTCTATGAAGAAGCTGAAGTCTGCTAGCCTCAGCACTGTGTGAAACAAGCTCGCAAAGGGAAGTCAGGAGCAAAAGGTCGCTGCAGAATTACGTCGGCAAAATAATATAACTATATATGTGTAGTACATTCATCGTGTTTTAGAGACAGCTTTGCCACCTACATATCTTGGATTCTAAACTCATTCCCCAACTGCAACGAGAAGGCTTGCACATCCCTTGGAAACAAAAAATACACAAACCAGCATGACATTTCTAGCATGTCTATCACTTTGCCAACATAAAGCCTAAAGCCAAGAAGCATGTTGATTTGGGTGTGAATGTGCCGGGTTGTTTGCATCAGCGGCCTGTCAAATCATCTCACAGCGTTGCACAGGGTCTGGGCACAGAAGATTGAAAAGCTGCTAAAAACAAACATCAGTTCGGGTCAGTTCGACAATTCCAAACGAGTGTATGTGCGTAGGTCCACGACCCCATTTATGTGTATATACATAGACTATGATAGAGCTACAGCTGGCCCAGACCAAATCCGTTTCACGAGTTGTCGCAGTTCCCACTATGTTGATTTCAATGATGTTAGACACTAGTCACTTGTCATGCTTTCTAACTTGCTTGGCCCCAATGGCTATCAGGCTGCCAGCACTTGCCCAAGGGCTCACTTTGTCTTCAGCTGGGGCAGATCTGCCATGAACTGCTTGAGGTTGGCAAGCTCCTGGTATCTTTCACAGCAGGGCAGTAGAAACAGACCAAGCACCCACAAGCCATCGCAAGATTCGCAACGACGGCTCCGGAATTGTCCTCTTCATCTTCAGGGTTTGAGAGAATCCGCTCATGAGTTTCTTGCCTGAAGGTACAAACGACGCAGGAGAAAGTGTTCAACTCACTCGCTCTGAGAAATAGAAAGTTCAATTTGCACAATCAAGAAGCCCAAATAACGGCAGCTTCTGGAAACCGTCAACCAGATTGACTGTCTTCCCTGAAACAACAATATTCCACCAGAAGACTCAAAACTTTCATGCACGTTTTTGCAAGCAACGGAAAATCTATGGAAATGATTCTGACTTTGAGGAGCAAACCATTCGTTCAGCACAGCTTGAGAGCGCTCCTGCAAGGCATCTCTGCTGCATTAGACAGTCTAAAGCTTTTCATGAGCCAAAAGCAGCCAAAAAGACTGTGCAAGTGTGTATGTGTGTGTGTGTGCAAAATGAGCTGCCAAGTCCACGTAAATACCAAGCTCCTGAATGCTTTGCGCCACGGTCTCCAAGCAGCAGGCTGCAAGGTGATAGGCACGCTGCGACATGTGCTGAATGATGTCCTGCGACGGTAAACAAGAAATCATCGCAGGAGAAAACATACAGATTCAACTGATTCAACTGATTCAACCCTTGCCCTTGACCCATTCCACAAGCCAGTCCGTACAATGCAGCTCGAAGAGTGGAAACCTTTTTCAAATCAGAACTCTGACCCCATGAGAGTTTTTGCAGTTGGAAAGCCATTGATCTGTGACCAAGGGGGAGCACTTCACAATCTCGGTGGTAAGCTTCTCAATTTCCGTCCCAGCCTGCACACACAGCTGGGTGCCAGAACACTGGTTTTGCTTTTACATCGTGTCAACATTGGAAATAGCGAAAAACTTGCAAATCTGGGCGACGCCTGCAAGTAAGCCTCTGTTCGAACCTCATGGTTGAAGTAGGGGAACCGGGGATATCTCTGTCGGATTTGACTCGAAGAAGTTTCTGTGTGAGACTTGAACCTGTCCATGCTAAGGCTTGATGTTCTTGTGAAAACAAAGCTCCACACTCGCACAGACTCGACATCTAGCGGATCAAGGTCGGCACCAACCTGGCAGACTTCCAAATGCAAGAGGTCAGTCCACAAGCGTCGCAAGTTTTGAAACCTTTCAAAGGCTAGCCAGAACTTATGATGTCTTTGGAACCAACGGCCCCCACAGAAATTCTTGTGAGCCGGGAAAAGGGTTTCGATATGTTTCGATCAGGGAAATTTGTCTACACAAGAGGCTGTTCTTGCACCTCTTCTCTGCCACTAGTCTTTATCTATGCTGCTGAGAGAGTCAGCGGCGAGACGAGAAATCCTGCCCTCTGACACAAGCATCAGCCAAGGCTTGCTTTTTTCAAGGCTAAAGCAGTTCAACAAAGATTACCCCAACCGGCGGCAACCCCTTTGAGATCCTTTGAGTCGCAAGTTGGGAACGTCTCATGATTCATCAAGGTTGTCTTGTCAGCCTTTTCGAGCATTCGTTACTGCGCTTGCGAGCTATTTCCTTCATGTTTCCGGGTAACCAAGGCCGTTCAATCGAAGCGAGTTTGCAAAATCCCATGTGTGAAGTAGATCCACCCTCCGCGCAGGAACCAAGAAAAAAAGCATTTGAGAGTCAGAAAAGCTCGTTTCACCCTCGACATTTTGAAAAACAAAACATGTCCCACAGTTCTTTCCTTTTGCCAGCCTCCGGAATACAGATGTTGCTTCCAACCGCATGAAATGATGGTGAATTCACTGTATTTAATTGAACTATGTATGTCCATGATGAGTGGGCGAGCTCAGTAAATTGATGCAGTATTTGAATCAGTGATGTAGTGAGTCTCACAGTCACCTATCGATCTACAAAAGTTTGTACCCACTCAATGATTTTAATCAAGCAACCATGCATGCTAAGACTTTGTCAGACACCAAGAGCCAATGCATCAGATGTTAACAAATCATTGCAAAACAATGTGGAAAATGTGGACGGGGCAAATGATCCACAGCCTATGTGATAACAACTCGACACAACAAACTGGTCAAGTAGACACCATTGGTCGATGAATCAAGCGAAAAAGTGCCAAAACTTGCCAGTGTATATATGTATATATGTATATGTATATATATATACATATATATATACATATATATATACATATATATATATATACATATGTATATATACATAATATATATATATATACATATATATATACATATATATACATATATATATATATACATATATATATATATACATATATATATACATATATATATAGTTTCAGAAATCTGATTGACACTCCATTGTTACTTTGTCAGATCAAATGCAAAAAAAAACAAGATGAAGCCCACGAACCCGAATGCTCACACGTATGTTAATGGTACAGATGTCAAAACACATGGATATGCAGTCACGCACAACACTTTTCTGCAATAGTTTATTTGAACTGTCTTGTACATATTTCCCCTGTTACCAGTCTGCAGTGTGGAGTGTAAAGTGTGGAGTGTAAAGTGTGGAGTGTGGAGTGTAAAGTGTGGAGTGTGGAGTGTAAAGCGTGGAGTGGGGACTGTAGAGTGTAAAGTGTAGAATGCGAAGTGTAAAGTGTAGAGTGTGGAGTGTAAAGTGTAGAGTGTGGAGTGTGGAGTGTAGCGTGTAGAGTGTGGAGTGAGGAGTGAGGAGTGTAAAGTGCAAAGTGTGGAGTGTGGAGTGTAAAGTGAGGAGTGTGGAGTGTAAAGTGTGGAGTGAGGAGTGTAAAGTGTAAAGTGTAGAGTGTGGAGTGTAAAGTGTGGAGTGTGGAGTGCGGAGTGCGGAGTGTGGAGTGGAAAGTGTAGAGTGTGGAGTGTAGAATGTAGAATGTAAAATGTAAAGTGTGAAGTGTAGAGTGTAAAGTGTAGAGTGTGGAGTGTAAAGTGTAGAGTGTCGAGTGTGGAGTGAGGAGTGTAAAGTGTAAAGTGCGGAGTGTGGAGTGTAAAGTGTAGAGTGTGGAGTGTGGAGTGTGGAGTGGAAAGTGTAGAGTGTGGAGTGTGGAGTGAGGGGTGTGGAGTGTGGAGTGTGGAGTGTGGAGTGGGAAGTGTGGAGTGTAAAGTGAGGAGTGTGGAGTGTAAAGTGAGGAGTGTGGAGTGTAAAGTGAGGAGTGTAAAGTGTAGAGTCTGGAGTGCAAAGTGTGGAGTGTGGAGTGCGGAGTGTGGAGGGTAAAGTGTAGAGTGTGGAGTGTGGAGTGTAAAGTGAGGAGTGTGGAGTGTAGAGTGTGGAGTGTGGGGTGTAAACTGTGGAGTGTGGAGTGTAAAGTGTAGAGTGTGGAGTGTGGCGTGTGGAGTGTGGAGTGCGGAGTGTAAAGTGAGGAGTGTGGAGTGTAGAGTGTAGAGTGTAGAGTGTGGAGTGAGGAGTGAGGAGTTTAAAGTGTAAAGTGTAGAGCGCTGAGTGTGGAGTGTGGAGTGTAAAGTGTGGAGTGTGAAGTGTAAAGTGTGGAGTGTAAAGTGTGGAGTGTGGAGTGCAACGTGTAGAGTGTGGAGTGTGGAGTGTGGAGTGGGGAGTGGAAAGTGTAGAGTGTGGAGTGTGAGTGGGGGATGTGGAGTGTAGAGTGTGGAGGGAGGAGTGAGGAGTTTAATAAAGTGTAATGTGTAGAGTGCGGAGTGTGGAGTGTGGAATGTGGAGTGTAAAGTGAGGAGTGTGGAGTGTAAAGTGTGGAGTGTGGAGTGCAAAGTGTAAAGTGTAAAGTGTGGAGTGTGGAGTGTGGAGGGTAAAGTGTAGAGTGTGGAGTGTGGAGTGGAAAGTCTAGTTTGTGGAGTGTAGAGTGTGGAGTGTAAAATGTAAAAAGTGTGGAGTGTGGGGTGTAAAGTGTAGAGTGTGGAGTGTGGAGTGTAGAGTGTGGAGTGTGGAGTGTAAAGTGTGGAGTGTAAAGTGTGGAGTGAGGAGTGCGGAGCTTTCCCCATAGACACGGCGACGCCACAGGAAATCCAACGACTCGAGACGAGACACGTGGATGCAGAAAAACGAGCATTTCGTACGAGACTTCCTCCAATTTTGACATTTTCGACACGTTATCAAACACGTTGGAATGTCGCAAAGTGCCACGCCTGCCACGCAAAACGACATGACAAGCTGCTTGGAAACCTTCGAAAAGGAGAGGTTTTGCGGCTTCCCCCATAGACACGGCGAAGCCACAGGAAAACCAGAGACTCGAGACAAGACACGTGGATGCAGAAAAACGAGCATTTCGTACGAGACTTCCTCCAATTTTGACATTTTCGACACGTTATCAAACACGTTGGAATGTCACAAAGTGCCACGCCTGCCACGCAAAACGACATGACAAGCTGCTTGGAAACCTTCGAAAAGGAGAGGTTTTGCGGCTTCCCCCATAGACACGGCGAAGCCACAGGAAAACCAGAGACTCGAGACAAGACACGTGGATGCAGAAAAATCAGCATTTCGTACGAGACTTCCTCCAATTTTCATAGTTTGAAACATGCCGCAAGAACATGTTTTCCAGCTTCCCCCATAGACACGGCGAGGCCACAGGGAAACCAGAGACTCGAGACGAGACACGTGGGAGCACCAAAACGAGCATTTCGTGCGAGACTTCCTCCAATTTTCACACTTTGTAGCTTCAAAATCGACGTTTTCCTACGAGTTTTCCTTAGAACGTGAAAATTTGCAACCTCAAAATCGATGTTTCGTGCGAGGCTTCCGTCAATTTTCAGCACATGTCAGAAAATGCCACGCCTGCCACGGAATTTGCACCTTGTCGCCACTTGACGCAGCCCTGCCAATGCGATTTGCAAAAAACACGCAACATGACACGTCTAAAGTGCTGCGCCTGCCACGAAAAATGGCGATGGACACGTCCAAAGTGCTGCGCCTGCCACGAAAACTGCAACACATCTTCTGAAAACGTCGCAAAAGTATTGCGCCTGCCACGCAAAACGACTTTCGACACGTTCCAGAACACGTCTGAATGTCACGAAGTGCCACGCCTGCCACGCGAAACGAAGCAACGACACGTCTGAAACCTCCAAAAATTACCACCTCTGCAGAACTTCCCATAGGCACGGCCATACGGTCCTCGCGCGGACGGTTGCGAACGGTTGCGAACGGTTGCGGACGGTTGCGACCACAAACGCAACGTCGAGCGAACACACCCTCAACCCCCAGACCCCCAGAGTGAAACGGGAACCCTTGCTACGCATTCGGGAAAAAGTAGCCAATCCGCTTTCCACTGCAGCATTCCAGGCTTCACCATTGGCAATGAAGATCTCAGCAAATTGGCCCCTCAACTCAGAACTGACTGCTGATGGGCATGCAACCAGACGATGCCAGCGCATAGCAAGCACATCCTCAGCTCGATTGGCATCAGTCTGGGAATGGAACCGCCTTGGCAATCGCTGTGCCGCCAGAAAAAAATCATGGACTGCAATACATACAGGCATGTGGCCATCATCTGCCTCCATGTCGGCCGCACCAAAGATAGCAGTGTAGCTTGACAGCAAGTCTTCGCTCACTGACGCCTTCTCAGCCATGAGGCGATCCCACCGCTGAGCGAGTGCATCCTCTGCTCGCTTCTCGTCACTGTCCCCCACTTGCCGCTTCGGCAACCGATGGGTTGTCTGAAAAAAATCCGAGACGGCAACACATACAGCCAGATGACCATCGTCTACTTCCATCTCCGCCGCACCAAAGATAGCAGTGTAGCTTGACAGCAACTCTTCGCTCACTGATGCCTTCTCAGCCATAAGGCGATCCCACCGCTGAGCAAGCGCATCCTCTGCTCGCTTCTCGTCACTGTCCCCCACTTGCCGCTTCGGCAACCGATGGGTTGTCTCAAAAAAATCCGAGACGGCAACACATACAGCCAGATGACCATCGTCTACTTCCATCTCCGCCGCACCAAAGATAGCAGTGTAGCTTGACAGCAACTCTTCGCTCACTGATGCCTTCTCAGCCATAAGGCGATCCCACCGCTGAGCAAGCGCATCCTCTGCTCGCTTCTCGTCACTGTCCCCCACTTGCCGCTTCGGCAACCGATGGGTTGTCTCAAAAAAATCCGAGACGGCAACACATACAGCCAGATGACCATCGTCTACTTCCATCTCCGCCGCACCAAAGATAGCACTGTAGCTCGACAGCAACTCTTTGCTCACTGACGCCTTCTCAGCCATAAGGCGATCCCAGCGCTGAGCAAGCGCATCCTCTGCTCGCTTCTCGTCACTGTCCCCCACTTGCCGCTTCGGCAACCGCCGGGTTGTGTCAAAAAAATCCGAGACTGCAATGCATACAGCTAGGTGGCCATCATCTACCTCCACATCGGCCGCAGCAAATATGCGTTGATACTCATTCAACAATTCATTCGGAAGTGACGCTTTCTGCTCCAGAAGACGGTCCCAGCGTCGTGCCAGCGCATCTTCTGCTCGCTGCTCCTCCGTTGTCATATTTTGCCTCCGAGGTATGCGTCCGTGCAAATCAAAAAATTTCAAAGCATCATCGCAAACACCACGGCGCCAATCATGCTTTAACAGATGCAGCAGCTTCAGCTTCTTCAGTTTGGCATATAAAGAGCGACTGCTTGGCAGATCAGCATGCTGCGATGGCATCTGCCCATGCTCTGCCAGAAATTGCTCGAGCTCAGCACGAACGATATCCGCCTTCTCCGCATCTGATTTTTTCTTTGGCGGGAAGAGTGGATAATAATATGAAAACGGCAAGAGCAAGCACCACACGGGACACCGCCACGACGTAGTCCAACCAATCTTCGACAAAATTCCGTTGCAAAACATCATGACCAACATGAATGTGTATCTTTGACACGTCCAGTCGCTGTCCGCATGCAAGCCCAAAAGTCGTGCGAAAACAATCGTCAGCCCACATAACACCTCAGGTACGCAGGGAAAAAAAGAAACTTTCCAACAGAAGCGGCAAAATCGTACCACCGTCATCTCCCACTCGCAGGCTGCAATCACAGAAACATGACTCTAGCGACCACTGAAGCATTGCTCACAAAGGAAAACCAACACAACTGCGCTAGACAGTCCCCTTGCAGCATATGCATTCGGAGAATTGCAATCGAATCAACATGCCCAGTCATCACTGCGTTACATGAAGCCAAGGCACTGCGATGTCATTCGGGTTTTCGATTATCATGCAGTAGTATGGCACACGTTGCACAAACTCCAGAAGCAACGCCTCTTGCCCCAGCAAACCATGCAGATATCTCAGCTGCACACAGCGCAGAAAGCTCGGCAGCAGCACCGCAGCAAGGACACCGATCAGCATAGTTAGCGGCAGCAGCAGCGCCAAGCAGCAGCCGCAAGCCGCGACAAGCCAGAGCGCAGCAGCAGCAACATACCGCGCGGCACGCCCTCGCAAGCAGTTCTGGCGCGCAAGCTTACGCCATTGCAGCGCGGACCGGCGACCCGCCATATTAAAAAAAAGACAGATCTTCAACAACATCGCTATCAACCTTCATGCCTGCATAAGCACCACTTCCGTGCATGCGACATTTGCTTGCATATCTCTCACGATCATTCGAAATGTCTAGATCTTGCAAATTTTCCTTGATCTAACAACATTCCTCATGAACTGTGACTGCTTAACGTTCTCTTGTTATTGAGCCCAGCCGAAATGTTTGCCGACACAGAACCAAAAATATATAAACAACACTGTGTGAAATCTGGATGAGTCCACACAGCCACTTTCCACCTTCAACATAATCGCACTCTTGCCATATATTTACAAAAAGCAAGCCTCACTGAACCAACAATCTAGTATATTCAAAATTTGAAACCTTGGCAAAGGAGACATTTTGCAATTCCCCCAATAGACACGGCGACGCCACAGGACAACCAAAGACTCGAAACGAGACTCGTAAGTGCAGAAAAACGAACATTTCATGCGAGACTTCATCCAATTTTAACATTTTCGTCGCGTTATCAAACAGGTTGGAATGTCACAAAGTGCCACGCCTGCCATGCAAAACGACATGACAACCTGCATGGAAACATTCGAAAAGGAGATGTTTTGCCGCTTCCCCCATAGACACAACGACGCCACAGGAAAACGAGACACACAGACAAGACACGTGGATGCAGAAAAACGAGCATTTCGTACGAGACTTCCTCCAATTTTGACATTTTCGACACGTTATCAAACATGTTGGAATGTCACAAAGTGCCACGCCTGCCACGCAAAACGACATGACAAGCTGCTTGGAAACCTTCGAAAAGGAGAGGTTTTGCGGCTTCCCCCATAGACACGGCGAAGCCACAGGAAAACCAGAGACTCGAGACAAGACACGTGGATGCAGAAAAATCAGCATTTCGTACGAGACTTCCTCCAATTTTGACACTTTCGACACGTTATCAAACACGTTGGAATGTCACAAAGTGCCACGCCTGCCACGCAAAACGACATGACAAGCTGCTTGGAAACCTTCGAAAAGGAGAGGTTTTGCGGCTTCCCCCATAGACACGGCGAAGCCACAGGAAAACCAGAGACTCGAGACAAGACACGTGGATGCAGAAAAATCAGCATTTCGTACGAGACTTCCTCCAATTTTCATAGTTTGAAACATGCCGCAAGAACATGTTTTCCAGCTTCCCCCATAGACACGGCGAGGCCACAGGGAAACCAGAGACTCGAGACGAGACACGTGGGAGCACCAAAACGAGCATTTCGTGCGAGACTTCCTCCAATTTTCACACTTTGTAGCTTCAAAATCGACGTTTTCCTACGAGTTTTCCTTAGAACGTGAAAATTTGCAACCTCAAAATCGATGTTTCGTGCGAGGCTTCCGTCAATTTTCAGCACACGTCAGAAAATGCCACGCATGCCACGGAATTTGCACCTTGTCGCCACTTGACGCAGCCCTGCCAATGCGATTTGCAAAAAACACGCAACATGACACGTCTAAAGTGCTGCGCCTGCCACGAAAAATGGCGATGGACACGTCCAAAGTGCTGCACCTGCCACGAAAACTGCAACACATCTTCGGAAAACGTCACAAAAGTATTGGGCCTGCCACGCAAAACGACTTTCGACACGTTCCAGAACACGTCTAAATGTCACGAAGTGCCACGCCTGCCACGCGAAACGAAGCAACGACACGTCTGAAACCTCCAAAAATTACCACCTCTGCAGAACTTCCCATAGGCACGGGCATACGGTCCTCGCGCGGACGGTTGCGAACGGTTGCGAACGGTTGCGAACGGTTGCGGACGGTTGCGCTCGCGAACGCAACGTCGAGCGAACACACCCTCAACCCCCAGACCCCCAGAGTGAAACGGGAACCCTTGCTACGCATTCGGGAACAAACAATGATCAAAAATATGCTGTCCGTATTCTGTCATTTTGTTTCTGTTTCAGCTTCTACATGTTTCTCCCCTCTGGGAAGGCCGCCCGCCTCTTCGTGAAATAGATATGCATATTTCTGGTACTTTGCCTCGCAAGAAATTCTGGAGGCGTTTTATCTCATGACTAGTCGCACACCCAGGTATGCCTCCAGGCCATTTGTCATGAAAATTCTGCACACAAGTTCTGCCTGGACTTCTCGAGGACCAAAGAGACAGTCCTCGATGACCTCCGCTGTTGCAGCCTTGGAAATCTGTGGCAAAACAACCCGCGACGAAACCCGGAACCGTCGGAACCGTTCGCAGTGGGCTACCGCTGGCATGAACGCTGTACCGCACAACTTTCTCACTCGCCTTTGCAGCACGTAGAAGTTGCCCTTCGTCAACAGGGCCTGAGTGCCTCAATTTTACCAGACATCCAGAGAGGTCAAGGAACTCAGTGGCTCAATTCTGTGGTTCTGAAATCGTTGAAAGAAATTAACAAGATCCCGGCAACGTTTGTGCGCCCACCAGACGGGCAGCATCTTCAACCTGCCCACTTCAACATCATTGACAGATAGCATGTTCATGAGCTTCCCAATTAAAGAGGGATGCACAGGATGCCCAGATAGTCTTGAGAAAGTTCCCATCACTTTTAACAGGTCTGTATGTACTGCTTGAGAGGATCCTAGGTTTCATGCAGATTTTCTTGAAACCAATCTCAATGGGAATTTCAGGATCCTAAAATGGAGGTACTGTACCATATAAGGCCATATTTTGTGGTGATATTCACTTTCATAGGCCTTATATAGGCCTTATATATGGTAGGTACCTCCATTTTAGGATCCTGAAATTCCCATTGACAATGTGCAAAAACAACTGCAAATGGACTGCACAAGCCAACAGTCGACATCAAAAGCTTTAAGCTGATGCCCCATAATTCTTATCCAGCAATCTGGCTTCGACCTGCTTGGAATGACCCCAATGTATTGAACAGAAATCTGACCGAAAAACTTCTTGCATAAAAGGTTGAGGATGATAAGTCCGCTCTTCCCTTGTCATACCAACGCTTCAGTGTGTCAATTTGGTATGATGAAATTGTGATGAAACTGCCAGGGAAATGTACGCCTCCACGCCATGATGCTCAGGATGCCGTCTATCAGATCAGGACAGCACTTTACCCCGCAATGCATCCCTTCTATGCCTCCTTTTTGTCAGCTTCATCACGACGTGCTCCCTCTGATTGGAGACTCGGTACAGAGCTGGTGGAAAGAATAAGAAAGATCTGTTCAAAGATAGGAATGTCCTAAAAAATGCAGTACAAATCATCCATTTTTACAGGATTTTCCATATAAACCATCCATTTTTGCCCTTTGTACGAAAATGGACAGAAATCATTATCTCGCAAGATTTGCACTGAGGTCTCAGCTCAAACATCAAGTGCTGCGGGAGGTTGCAAAAAGGTACCAACTGACATGTTCCATAGATTCAGAATCATTCAGAATGATCGCGGTTGGACCAAATTATCCCTACTACTAGTATGAAATTGTATAAATATGTATAAATTGTTGCATGTAAGAAATCACTGCCAGTCGTAAAGCAGCCTCTCCTCATACTCGATGCTCATGATGGAAGATGTGACCTGTGGTCGACACTTGCTCGAGCAATCGCAGTGATTCAATATGAGGCTGGAGGATTATTGTAAAATATTGTAAATTTGTTGCTCTTTTTGCCTGATTGCACAGACAGGGTTTATCCAGCCTTTGTCACATCATCGATTAGATCGAGGATCTTCTGCTTCAGGTCTTCTGGATGCGGTGCAATTCCGACCTTTAGATTGACTGGAGAATCTGGAGAGGTGGAGAGGTTTTTCTTTTGGCACACAGATTTCAGGGAGCGCATCCAGCCTCCCCATGCGTTGCCTCGAGGCTCAACGTAAGCAGGGGTGTCCTGTCAAGACACGGTAAAGCAAACCGACAAAGCATGAAAACGAGGGGGTCACTACAATTCTCTGCCAACCAAGTCAAGGCTGTAAGCTTGTGTTATCTTATTGTGTTCATATTGGTCTTGGAAAACATTCAGCAAGCATCACAGCAATGTTTGCAAGTCACAGGCCAGAAACACTGAAGCGGCTCATCATCCGGCATAAACGAACGCACAAAGGCAACCTTGGCAGGATTTTAGAAGGGAGCAAGTCATGAATGCACTTGGAGTGGAAGAATCATCAAAATCTGAGAGATAAGGAAGCCAACATAGAAGCAGAGGTCACTTTGCTTGAGAAGCGGAGTGGCAAGCTCTTAGCAAGAGGGCAAATTTATCGGAGTCAAAATGTTAAAGATGCATGTCAGCCTGTTATAGCCCAAAAAAGCACTCCTTCATTTTTCGAATATGAGGACTATTGCAAAAATGGTATCGACCCACATCAAACCCACACAACAAGATACCACTAGCAATTCAACTCGAGCCAACCAGATCCGATCGTTTCTGCTTCCATCGCTGGGGCCAGTGGGGCCCGTGGGGCCCGTGCCCAATCGGTCAGAGACATCTGAACAAACCATCTCATCTGCGCCGAGAGGATCAAGTCAAACCTGCACTCTTCCCGACAGACGTCCGCAAGTCATTGACTGTTCCTGGATGATTTCTGGATGTAGAATATGTAGAGTCTGCATTGATAAACAAGCGAAAGGAAATATCAGAAGGCTCTGGGCCAATGACTTCCGCAGAATTCTGTGCAAAGGTTGCCTGTCAACAACATCAGCTCACAACTGCAGCAATCTAGCAAGTTAGCACAAGACCTGTGGGCAATAATCCAAATTTCTGTTCTTCTGGAAAGCAACATGTGCTGAATATGCGAAAGCAGTTCAATTGCCTGAGGTGCTTCTGCGGATTCTCGATAAAGAAATTGTTAACTTCAGACATTTTGTCGAGGACCTGTCAAGAGGATACTAGGAAACCGCAGCAGGCACCAGGAGTGCACAAACAAGAAAATCACTGGATGGCTCATTTGTGACGACACAATTCAACCAAGACAAAACAATCTATCCATGAATACAGTCAAACTGTACGTCTATGTCTATGTTTACATGGATGAGGTGAGTGAGCGAAGAATCAAAAGCTCCAAGCAAGTAGGTTTCAACTTTTCTACCACTCACTTTGGTGCGTAGATCCAGAAGGATTATCACACGTAAGCAAACGTTGACGCGGTTATGTCTTGCCTCTGAAACGATATAGTCTCGCCAATGGCGTTCCAGGATAACTGCTACATCCTCGGCTCTTTTCAATGCCATCTATCGATGCAAAATGCCACATCGCTGAGGCATCCACCTTTCTGTGCTCCTCCATATGCAAAATGAAGTCTGTGGGTGCGAACGTTCGCGTTCGAAAGTCCTGGTGCATCCGTGTGTAACAGCCTAACAGCCAACAAACAGTCTTCGAAGAAGGACACTATGCCCCGTCAGGACAAATGATTTTTATTATGAGTGCAGAATGCAAGTCACATTCTCATAGACTAGTTCAACTTGTTCATCACTTGAGCTTGCAGGATCAATAACATCACAAAGACTCATCGGGACTGTCCTGGCCGCTTATTCCACGACCGGTTGCACTACTGCCACGATCTCCCACTTTTCCAGAGGGCATTGTGTCGAGGATGCGATGCCGGTCAATCTGCGGCCGATCACATTCAACATCATTCAACTTGATCAATAAGAGGAGATACGATTTGAATCAATTTGATATAATCGAAGCCTCCTCACCGAAACGACGCCAAACCGCCATGGTCACAACCTCTGGGCTCAAATCTCATTTGGAGCAAAGTATCTGGTACCTCTGGTAAGCTGACTTCAAGCTTCGATTAGTCAAACCATCTCCTGGTGGGAAACCGCAAGAGCTGCCAGGATCACGGACGTTTTAATCAAGTACAATTTGACAAGACTAAGACCGCAGGAAACTCCGTATTGGAGTTTGTGATCCAGTTCATATGTACAACCGAGACAACCAATATTCTGCTTCGCAGTTTGGTGCCTCCTTTCTGCCTCACTTTGCTCCATCAAGTCCATCACTTTACTTGGCACGATTCAGGCTGCTGCAGTGTCGCACTACCCACCTGAAATGGAGATTCGAAGCAGTCGAGGCGCTCCACCGTGACTCTGCAAAAGCTGATCTGACGACTACTTGGCTGATCAAGTTGACCATTGAGTGCCCAACGCCAGAACAAGACCCACCAAAAGGGCCAAAGCTTGCAGGCCAGCTCCCAATCCAAATGACGAGCGCCAGCAAACAGCACCATGACAGAAGGCATCTGCAGGAGCTGCACAGGAGAGATGACAGGATTTCACGGCGAGATGTGCAAGACAAGCTATGGACATGCCGGGAAAGACATGTCCATGTGACTGGCTTCAACCTCCAGCATACACAAACGTATTGTCCAGCCTTCCCCCTGCCGGGCTGCCTCAACATCGTACAGGCCACCCACCTGTTCCAAGAAAATATTGTCCAAGAAAAAAGGAACACACGAAGCTGAGGTCCCCAGAGTGTTCTTCCTACTGGACCACAAGCACACAGCAAAATCAGGCAAAATCTGTCAACTCCAACTGAATAAAGTAAAGTCTATGTCAGGCAGAGTGACAACATATGAGGTCAGCAGCACTGTAAGAGCAATGTGGCCGCTATGAATGTTGAACATCACTCCGACCTCAAAGGGTCTAAGGTCTGCTCGCTAGCGTATCCCCCAGCCCAACCCACTTCGTTTGAGTTGATGACACCGATGACACCGGTGCAGCTGTTTCGTTCAACCATGTGCAGAAGTCTTTCCATCGAACAGCCTGACCAATTTGCCAAGAAGCATGTGCCCCTTGAAATCGTTTCGCGATGAATGAAGGCATGATAGCCTTGGACTCAAAGTGACACTACCTGACACAAACATTTGAAATTCAGCTTTCCAACAAGTAAATCAAGGCAGCCAGGGGCGACTTGCCTCTGCATGTCGTTACCTAGTTTCACGTTCATAACATTGCATCATGCACAGGGAATAGACACCAAAGGAGCCACGCCGACTTCGGATATCGGCAGGCTCCGGTTAGGGTCAGTTCCAATGTAAGGGTCATGTTGGTGGCAGCAAATCTCCCCATTGTAAACACTGCACTGCAGTACACCTCCCCCAGCTAAATGAACGTCATTCAAGAAGCCCAATTTGCACCATATGCTGCAGCTGTCACTGCTAGAGCAGGAAGGAGTGCATGCGGCATCACCTCAACAAACACTTGGGCTCAGTCTCACATTCGAAACTGCATCGGAAAGTGTCCAAACGAGCGCTTAGGAACTGATTCCACTGCAGTCTTGTTCGAACATGTCCGAACTGTTGTGGAGCACACAATACTGTGTTGATACCAACAGTTTCCTCACGATGCCATGTAGGGCCTCCTCTGGCAGGAATAAGAGCGCAGATGATGCCAGCAGCACTCCAAACGCTGTGATGAGGATATGGTCAGAGCGATGAACTCCTGAGAATTTGCAAAACACGCAGTCGTTTGATGCTCCAAAGACCTGATCAGAAAGAGTTGCAATCAACAAAAATTAGAATCACAATGGATCAAACATCACCTCAAAATGCAAAGGCCTCTGACTTCCAGTGCATCCATGGCAAAGCCGATGCCAAGCCGGCCCAGGCAATTGCAATACGACCTAGAGAAAAAATTGCCTGAAATTTTGAAAAAACTGTGGCTTTCAAACTTGAAACAGCTCTTGAGTCACACTGCATGGTAGCTAAGCGGCACAGCTCGCACATAAGTCGGACGGCTGTCAGCAGAGATACCCAAGGAGTCTCCTATCCTGCAAGGATCTGCAAGGAACATCAAGAAAGCATCTGTGCAAATGAAAAATCTGCTTGATCTTGTGCAGGTGGCAGAATGGATCTCCAAATTGGCTCTTGAATGGATTTTTCTCGAGTAAGTTCAAGCGAGTCACAAGGACAAGTTGGCAATGTAGAGACCGGAGCCGATGGATTGCCTGAGCGAGTGTTCACTTTGAAACCACAAAATCAATTTGAGCCAGCTACCAAGGGACAGCTGCTGGAAACCTGGCCTTGAACTCACAATAACAATGCTAAAATATGCTAAAATATTGCTAAAATGTACTAAGATGAACTTCTGTTTTTTGCCCAGATACAGGAGTACAAATGACAGAAGAAACAGCCAGAAGTCAAATCTACACCTCAGCGCTGACAATGGATGAGCTCAGTGAATGACAACCGACTCCACGTCAGATCGTGCCAAGTACAAGACACACGGCCCTTGGCAAAACAATTGTATTCATATATTATTCATATTATAGATCCAGGATCCACTTGTGAAAGTCACTTCAAGAAAAATATCAACTGTTTGTTGTTCAATATCAGCGGCATAAAGCAGGAACTCCTGATTGCTTGGGCTCAGGATCAAGAAAAGCTTTACCATCTCGTGTAATCTTGACAACAGCTAGTCATGCAAAAACCAACTGTACCAATTGTCCCGTGATTGCAAGTAAAAATATCTATCATAGGTGCAGGTCCTTGCAGTTCAGTGACTTTTCTAAATCTCACACTAATCAATTTTTCCCACTGTCTAGAGAGTAGAATCGAAGAATAAGATCGTGTTGTCATTTTGTCTGACTATATAATCAATTTCAAACAAATATTCACAACCTTGTTTGTGCTAATCGTGTAGCAAATGAAATATCTCTCCAAGTGTTGCTTTAACCATGTGTTTGACTATCATACAGGAAAATCAAACGTCATATACAGTCGTAAAGACATGGAATGTACCTGCCAGAAACCCAAATCCCCGCATGATCACACGTTCAATGGCCGAGTTTGATCGAGTTTGTAGGATAACCCATGCTTTCAAGTGTCAAAATATCCTTGCGGCTCATATGTGGTGTGGATTTCGAACTAGGAGTACCAGCAGCTGCAGGTTCATCTGGGTCCTGTTGCCCATACCTTCCACTAGCACAGCAGGCATCAAACTGATGCTGCTTAGGCAAAACAAAAACCTCAACCAGTGAATTTGCTGGCCCCATCAGTTTTGATCAGTTTTGTTGTAGAATGTGACATTGCTTGCCAATGAAAGACCAGAAAATCTTGAGACGTGCAGGCAAGTTGCTTTGTTGGTGGGGGATAAATCCCAGCCTCATCCTTCGGTGTCACCTCTGGCAATCGGCCATAATTAGTCGACCGCGATCTCATGTGCAAAAACCTCAAAGAATCCAGCAGAATCCAGCAAAATCATCGTTCACAAATGTTCACAAGATCTCTTGAGCAAGGCATCTGATTCTCTTTGATGCTTTGAGTTGACAATGCACAATCTATCTGAGTCTGGCCTGAAGATAAAATACCAAGAAACGGCATCAGGATTGCTGCACCCAGCGCTGTTATACAGAACAGAAGGCCTGTGCCTTTGAAGTATCTTTCAAGGTCCTTGGCAGTGTCACAGCACACAGTAACTATCCACCGCTCACAAGACATTAAAAAAGGCTTACAGTCTCTTTAATGAGTGGCAACAACGAATGTCTTCCATTTCTATCCATTTATGAGTTCGTCTCGTCCAGCTCTTGTAGTACCTAATCTCTGCCCGAGCATCATCTCCAAAGAGGGAGAACAAGAGCGTCACAAAAGCAGCGGAAAGACCATAGCCAGATGAAACAATGCCCGTGATAACTCCCTGCACAAACAGACGATGTGAGTAGCAGCAGTTTCCGCTTGTGTGCTCTTGGTATTATGTTGCTTGCTCACAGTACACTTGTTACACATCGAACAAGGAATTGATACAGAAAACAATGCCTTTTGCACTTAAGTGCCAATTTTTCCTGTATATCTATTATATGTATATTAATTACAGTATTTATAGATAGATAGATAGATGGATGGATGGATGGATGGATGGATGGATGGATAGATAGATAGATAGATAGATTAGATAATTAGATAGATGGATGGATGGATGGATGGATGGATGGATAGATAGATAGATTAGATAATTAGATAGATAGATAGATAGATAGATAGACAGCTAGATAGCTAGATAGCTAGATAGCTAGATATACTGTGTAAAGTGTAAAAGTCAAAACTCCACAGTTTTTCAAGTTCCCCGCCTGCAGCTTTGGCGGGGCATGGGCGATGTTTGAAAATAGGCCAGCTTGGAATATTGCCACGGAGCCCTTGAAAGAAGGACGCCAGAAATTACATGAATATCCAGAAATCAACTGAACTTTGGAATGTCATCATTGAACTTTGCGTGTTTCACTATCACTAGAGTCGGGGCAGAAGTGCAAGGCCACAATTTGGTCAGATCTGTCAAAGATTCACTGTGTTCGATCACTGATCATTCCTCTTGGGCACCTGTTGCACAAGGAAGTACCAAAATGCCAGTGTGGAGACACCGCCACATCCATCTTTCTGAAGCATCAGAGCCATGCCAAAGTTTCCGGCTGCTGTGAAAATGGCACCTTAACTGCATCGCATCACCATGTCATCCATCTCATGTCTCACAACTCTGTGCAAGGCTAGACAAGCGTCCATAGAGGCATGCTCCAACAGGACCACGGAGATCATATAAAGTGCCAGGAATGATGCCCAAACCAACACCTGCCTGTGCAAAATAAGACCAACAAAATCCAGCAAAGTCAGCTTGATTTCACAAGGCTGATGCATTGCGACCCGTAGTGCTTGAAATCTCAAGAAAAGTGGAATGAAAACTGGATTTCTGGCATCAATCTCTGTCCTTCTAAGTAGGGCTACGCACCTGGCCAGCTGCATATATGACATCCAAATGTTGCGCAGAGAGGCTGCAGTGGCTCATGATTTGCACCTCGAACCTGCCAAGATGATGAACAACCAGAGCTCACCAAATTTCATACAATATATCAGATATACAACATGAAGAAATTGCACTGCATTGGTGTTGATTGCATCCAATTGCTTGCAAAAGGTATGACTTCAAGCCACCTGGAAAAAGCATAGAGGCTACCACCGCATAATGCCATCCATGTTCCAAGTAAAAGCAGGAAAATCTGCCGCCAGGCATGTCGGGATGTAGGAAAGGCCTCAGCTAAGATGGCTGCATTAGCTGCATCATGCTGCAGGCTGCGTATTGCTCAATGAAGCCATGGGAAGCAATGATGCTCAGAGAGCATCTCTCTGCATCTCTCTGCTCTCCGCTTGTCTCTTCCCTCGCTTTTGCATTAAGATTTTCTCTACAAATCAACTCGGTGCAAATCGAGAAACACACTCAGCTGACATTCGCATTCCACGGAGCAGTCATGGCCATGGCAGCTCTTCGGCCAGCAGTGTCACCGGTGTCAGCAGTGTCAGCAGTGTAGAACTGGCCCTTTCCACCAGCACTGCTATGCTATCTTCCCAGTTCACAAGGAATCTTGGAGGTTTCGCCCGCTGTTTGACTCGATGGACTCGTGTGTTGTCGTGTGTTGTCTGACGACTTGTGTGCACTATGCTGCCTCACGGAGACTTGGTGGAGTAAGTGTAGTACTTCCATTTGGTCTTGGATTGTGAAAGTCTGTGCAGCACGGATAACACTGTTTCTATGCAGAGGATTATGAAATTATGTTGTTGATTACGTTAATTGGATCTGTCATCAGCTTGCAGGGACATCAAGGTGTATGTCAGCAAGGTGGAGATTCGTGAGTTCACCAGGCCCAGGAATGTCCAGAGAGTACTCCAAATGAGAACGCAAAGCACAAAACGAACCTCTGGGTCTCGTCACATGACAGGGAAACTATGGAAAAACTATTGAAAAACTATGGAAAACATGCTTCTTGCTCCTCTGAGCCAGGCACGTTGACATTTCTGGAGATGGTGGGCTGCTGGACCAAATGAGTTGCTATCTCCAGCACAGATTGCTCAGAGGCCTACAGTCGCAAAATATAGCTTACCACTTCGGCCCTCGGAGCAGAAATTGCAAAAACCGAGTTGAAAGCATCTTCTCATACTGATATATTTGATATGAAGCAAAAAAAGTCAACAACATCGGACAGCATGCGCATTTCATGGTGCACCTGGTGCGCCACCAAGCCATACTGTGGCGCCTTGCAAGGCAGGAAGTTGCCCAACCTTTGCGCAGGTCTCAAGAGTCAGAGCAAGTTGACTAAGTCAGGACAGAGCAGCAAGACTGCTGAAATCATCTGTCTTCAGAAAAAAGTTGGAAAACTATTCCGAGATGTGGACAATGGTGCAAAAGGCGTGTCGTCTCGAACACAGGCATACCTGCAAGATCGATCACGATCGGAGATATCAGGGGACCAGCTCACAACCGCTCCCAGCCCGGCTGAGCTCAGCACGGAGTGCCCATCTCTAGAATCAGGTCATTCTTTACTTTTGCCTCAGCGATCAGGTAGCTAAACAAGACGGGGAGCAAAACGCCTGAGAGTCAGAGCAACCTTTTTTGCCTTGCCGGCGTGATCGATGTTAGCTCAAAAACCGGCAACCAAACCATGAATGAAGATGACAGCCGATAATGTCTGACCTCCATGGTATGCAAGTTTCTCAACCCATATCAAGATCGAAATCGCACTTAGCAAAACTGATATGCAGAAATCATATGAAATCATATCGTGTAGAATTAGCTGTACTTATAATAACATAAAAATGTATAATACACATGTATGGATTTACATGCGGTTGTACACATGTGCATTCATGGCTTTGCCTCAAACTTGTTCAAGTATGCATGCAATCCTGGGTTGCTATTGTAAGCATGCCACAGTCTGTCGCAAGCTCGAGGAATTGAATTGCTGGTTAGGAAGGTGTTGGGCAACCGCTTGCAAACATGCTTCCGTGCAGAATTCATTTGCTGTGGTACAAAGAACTGTTGGCTTGCTCACAGTGGGACACTGTGGTCAAAAAAAGACTCTTTGTACCTCGATCTACAACGTGTTGTGATGACTCTGCAGCACCCTTGACAGGACACCTCGATCACTCCAGAAGATCCGAGATATTAGCCGATTATTAGCCAAGCGACAAATTTCATTGACAGGACATAGTTCCTGGAGGGACTGAAACACTTGGGATTCCAAGCAGGATTCAAGTGCAGAAATGCTCAACTTATGGGGAACAAGTGTGATATACCTCCTGAAGACAACATAAATACCCATCAGCAGGCTTATTTTCCTTCACCTCAAATAAATCCTCTAGTGACAATTTCAAGTGCAGTCTGTCAATCACATGCATTGGGCGTACTCTTCGATCTCCCGGATGAGGTCACGGATATGTCCTAACACCACACAACTGAGCTGCCACAGGCTGCAGATTTGACGTTTTGAGATTCTCCAAAGACTTGAAGAGACCTAAGCCTTCTCGTGTGTTCGTGTGAGAAGATAATCATGGCGTAGATCTCACTGGGCAAACTGGGCAAACTGGGCCAACGGCCAACAAAGCTGTTCGAGTCTTCCAAGTGACTTCTGTGAAGGCCTGAACAGGACGCCCAATAGGATCAATAGGTAGGCTGGACACGAGGAATACAGATTACAAGCGGTTCAAACATGGTTCAAACGGTTCCGACAGTTCCAACATGATTCAGCACAGTTCAGACAACACTTCATGACTCAGCATCACGAAGCATCACTTGGCATCACTTGGCAGCTTCGCCACGCTTCATCGTGCTTTGCCATGGTTCGCCTTGTCGGATAAACCTTTCTTTTTGCTCTCTACGAAGCGGTGAGACCTGTCAAGACGAAACACCAGCGTGAAGATCATGAAGGAACAGAAATGTGTGCCTACAGTCTGCCCACGTAGTCTACATAGGGGCTGCTCTTTGAGCCACCGACCAACTCATCCGGTTGCGACTCAATGAACTTGATGAAGGCCTTCCATCAATAAGCTGCACCCGGCTGTACCATCTGTATCCAGTCACTCTCCCAACTCCACGAAAAACAACTCTTTGGTCTCTGTGGACTGCCTGACAGCTCTCACATTGCACCGAATAGTTCCTGTCAACACTCACAGTCCGCCTGTTGTAGCTCACAATGTGCTTTTTTTGCACGACAGGTCTCCACCTGGTCTTCGCTTCCACGGAACCGGACAAACCATCGATTTGAGACATACACCTAAAACCAACACTAGATCATACTAGATCCACCCTGGATGGATTTATGGATTTATTTTGAAGAGGTCAGAATTCTTCAGTCAAAGAGTTCTGAAGAGTTCTGCAGAGTTCTGAAGAGTTCAGTTGAAAGTCCAGAGATCAACTTCAGTCAAAGAGTCTCAGCTCTTCGCCCGCAAGGCAAAGTTCTGAGGATCTTCAGCATTGAACCGAAGAGCTAGTCGTTTGACCTCAAATGAATATTCAAGTGTCAATAGTATTGCTATGGCATGCTATGGCCAATCATGGCCAAAGTAGATGAAAGTAGGAGAAAGTAGATGGAAGTAGCATGGTACTGAGATGTACTGAGACTGTAGCTTGTTTTTGGCTTCCATCCTCCAACTCGACCAAATATCTGGAGTTGGATGCCTCAAAACAGGCTCTGTGTGGGCAAGGTGCGCCAGGTGCGCCAGGTGCTTTCGAATGTTGGATGGCCTCATAGCCCAAAACCCAGCACGGAAGCATTCGCCATTCTCGCGCGATGTAGTGCAGCACCGATGCCTCAAAACAAGACCTTTACGACTTTAACAAGTCCGAGCAGCCGAGTGCAAATCATTTAGACAATTTAGACACTTGAATGTGAATCGTGAGCAATCTTAAACAAACACAAACAACTATGATACTGGCTGGACGCACTCATTTCAATTGAATGGAGAACGTTCAACATATTCCAAACAACACAACCACACCATTGCAAAATGGAGCCTAGCGCAATCATATCGCCATATGCTGCAACTCGATATTGCCCTTCGCTATCGTGTTCACAAATTTCAGCTTCAGACTTGGGGTTTCCCAGAAGTGGGGCCGTGGCACATCTTAAGCCACTCCTTTGCATCATCAGAGTCTGCATTGTTTCCAGGCAAAAAAAATCAAACATAGAATCCTTTAGCTGACCTCATTTCTAGTACCAACCGTGAAAAATGTGTCGTGGCAACTGGCAATGGGTGATTCATCTTGGCAAAATAAGTCCAATCCGCCTCAGGTGTATGTACCTCAAAGTCCATCGGACTGTCCTCAAGGCAGACAAAATCAAAATTGGCAAAGTCTGAACCGAACTAACTAACTATAGGTTGGGCAGTACGGCCGATGTTGTACGAGAAGTAGATTGTATTCAATTTTCATTGTGCGTTTGCTGTCCAAATTGGCCAAGACACAAAGGCTTCCAAGGGAAGACCTGTTGGAACTTTCATGGCTCCGGACATTTCGTGAAACGAATATATACTCTCCGAAGTTTTGTGCATCGTGGCTGAAGTTGTATGTTTATGAGAACACTAGTTATTGGAATCATCAAATTGGCAAAAGAAAAAGTCCATCTGCAGCACCATCTGGACCCATTCCTTAAAAACATCATTGAGGCATAAGAAAAACCCAACTAAGCTACAAAACACGACCAGTCTGGTTATGTACAGGAATGACTCTGGGCAAAGTGGCAGCACAAAACAACCCATGCAAGGTGTTCGCTGGATTTCAAAGTGGGGTTTTAATTTGATGAATTTGACAAAAAATGTGTAGCGCAATCGATCCTGCCATGGTTTGCAATGCCGCATGATGTTGACTTGGTTTTTTTTGCGTGGTGGGACATGGTGGGACGAATGTAGATCCAAAGTGGTCACCTCGTGACCCCGCAGACGGGCAAGAAATATTGCCCAAAGTGGTGTTTGCACCTTCCCATCTCATTTTGTACATTGTTTTTTTTTACTACAGCCATTCATAAATTCCAAACATCATTGTACAGGTTTGGTTTTCAATTTTCATTCCCTCTCTTGGTCCATCGGAAGCAACCTAATTCATGAATGCATACCATATGCTCTGTAAATAAATTTGCTATATTCGCAAAAATTGGTAATTTTTGTGTGCACCCATTTGATTTTTTTTTGCCGGTTTGACACCTTTTCTGCTGTTTTGCGCCCAATTTTTGTCCATATGTTCCTTCTACATTTCATTGAAATTGTCGACCACCTAGGCCATCCAGAATGTGGCAATAGATCGAATAGATTACAGCCCTTTCCAAAATGTCCAATGCATTCAGTTCACACCTCCAAAGCTCTGAATGGCCCCAGCTGGAAAATGGGAGCGCAACAGAGTATGAATAAGTTTGTGTTCGTTTGCACGAGTTTACCCCGAAATCAAACAACTGGCAATTGACACAAAAATGTTCTGTAATTTAGGCTTCGAATTTGAACAAAAATGCAGAATTGGCGGTTTTGTTTTTCCACCAAGTATGTGTTGTGTTTCAATGCCAAACAGCAACGCGATTACACTGTTTGGTTCCTTAACGAATTGTTCCAATCAAAAAGAAACACGTACTTATCTTAATTTGCACAAACATCATTCCATCCCACACTCAATGACTCAATTATGAATGGTTGGCATGAGCAAAAGAACAAACATGTTTGCACAATGTTCAAGTTTGGTTTCATGGGCGATGGAATTTTATGTTGTTGGGACAAACCTAAATGCAACCTTGGACAACGTTGAATTTCAAACATGACATGACCAATTCATTGTCTGTGAAATTGTTGTGGTACTATATATTGCCAGTAGTACCGCAGAAGGCGGCGGCGGAAGTTTCAAAAATAGGAAACCTTTAGGAGAGGTTGGTTGTTGTGAGTGACGGATTGCAGAGCGAATCCACTGATGGACCGAAGGGTGGTTGGAGTTGTGTTTCTTGGAGTGGTCGCAATGTTTGCAGCGGTCACCTCACCACAACTGGTGGATGTAGCGTGGTGTAGCGCAGTTGTAGCTGTAGTTGTAGTTGTAGTGTAGGGTAGTGTAGGGTAGTGTAGTGTAGTGTAGCATAGTGGAGTTGTAGCTGCAATGTTGTGTAATTAGTGTAGTGTTGTCGCACTGGCAGTTGCAGTTGTAGTTGTGGTATGGTGTAATTAGTGTAGTGTACTGTAGCGTTGTGTACTGTAGCGCGGTGGTGTGTAGTGTAGTCTAATGTAGCGTTCTGTGAGGTAGTGTAGTTGTAGTTGTAGTGTAGTGTAATGTAACTAGTGTAGTGTCGTGTAGTGCAATTTAGTGGTAGTTGCAATTGCAGTTGCAGTTGTAGCTGTTGCTGTAGTGTAATGTAACGTAATGCAATGTATATAATGTAATGTAATGCAATGTAACGTAATGTAATGTAATGTAATGCAATGCAGTGTAATTAATGTAGTGTAGTGTTGTGTAATGTTAATGTAGTTGTACTTGCATTTGTATTTGTTGTAGTGTACTGCACTGTAATTAGTGCAGTGTAGTGTAACGTGGTCTAGTTGTAATTGTAGTTGTAGCTGTGGTAGTAATAGTTGCTGTCGTTGTAGTCTAATTAGTGTAATGTAGTGGAGTGTAACTAGATGTAATTAGTGTAGTGTAGTGCAGTTTGTGTAGGGTAATGTAGCGTAGTTGTTTTTTGCATTTGTAGTTGTAGTAGTGTAGTGTAGTTGCAGTTGTGGTTGTCTATCTACCTATCTATCTGTCTATCTGCAATCTGCAAGCTTGAGAACGAAGCTATTCTGAATGACTTCCTCAGTTTTTGAACTTGACAACATCAAAAAGCAGCAATTCTGCGAGGCTTCCTCAGTTTTTGAACTTGACACCGTCAAAAACGAGTCTATTCTGCGAGACTTCCTCAAATTTTCAAGTTGACAACATCAAAAACGAAACAATTCTGCGAGACTTCCTTCTGAGATGGAAAGTTGAGTGCAGAGCGGATGGTTTCGTACCAATGCGTTTTGTATTTTTTCCATTCCATCTGTCTAAAGTCTAAAGTACCTTGCCTGGCACGAAAAAGTGATGCCAGGTCATTCGAAGTGCTGCACCTGTCACGCAAAATCATCTTGGCAAACCTGAAGATCTGATGCTCCAAAATTGTTAGGCAAGCAGCAGAGTGCGCCTCGAGATCTGGTTTCCTTACATCAGAGCCACTGTAGAGGTTTGCACCAAGATATGTAAGTGCAACTGTACGGACATGCTGAAATCTCCAAATGAATTTGACACCCCGCCTCGATTTCACGGTGATGTCATCAGCTGAAATCGTATCTTTCAGCTAGTCATCATGGTGGTAAATTGGTGCATCTATGTGCACAAACCATTGCTCGACAAATGATCCCCAGCTATTTTGATATTTACCATCCACGACGATTTCTCTGAAAACTTGATACCCATGAAGTTCACGTTGACTCCAAAACATGGGATAATCCCAAAACAAATCTGGTTGATTGGGAAACAAGTTCATGAGATGCATCTTCATGTACTCCCTCAGGATTTGTTCTGAGGAAAACAAATTAACCTCTCTCACCCGCTGCACTCGCAATCGCTCAGCCGCTGGATAGTGCGCTTCAATCACATCCATCTCGTTCCAGTCCAATCCAAGCTGAGGAATCTCAGGCAGACTGTTAGGAATTGATCTCGGTGATCCTGGCAAGCTAACACGCTCTGGGGTCACTGAACTTGAAGTCTCGCGCTGTGGATCATCGCGGGTCTGAGCTCCAATGCCTGGTACTGCTGGTTGAGATAGTGCAGGGACCGTGTAGTCAATCTCCATTGGATCATCTTCTTTCTCTTCTTCTTCAAACTCTTCTCACAAATCTACCGTGCTCATCTCTAAAGGATCGAGCTCCGACACATTGAGACGCTGCCGAACAAAGGCATGAGGCCTGACAAATCTTGTTTGAAGTACTCTCTCTTCGCCAGATTCTGCCTCCTCCGGCTTTGCTAAAACTCTGTACTGACGTAGGGACTGTGTGTCTGGATCCCAATCGTCCACGTACTCGATGTTCAATTAGATCATGGCATTGTGGAAGGCAAGGGGGGAAAAAGTTTAAATAAAGAATTCGATTTTAGATCATGGCATTGTGGAAGGCAAGGGAAGGGAAGTTTAAATAAAGACTTAGAATTTAGATCATGGCATTGTGGGAGGCAAGGGGGAGAAGTTTAAATAAAGAATTCGATTTTAGATCATGGCATTGTGGAAGGCAAAGCGGGGGGAAGTTTAAATAAAGAGTTCGAGTTTAGATCATGGCACTGTGGAAGGCCAAAAGTTTAAATAAAGACTTAGAATTTAGATCATGGCATTGTGGAAGGCAAGGGGGGGAAGTTTAAAGAAAGAGTTAGATTTAGATCATGGCATTGTGGAAGGCAAGGGGGGGAAGTTTAAATAAAGACTTCGAATTTAGATCATGGCATTGTGGAAGGCAAAGGGGGGGGAATTTTAAATAAAGAGTTCGATTTTAGATCGTGGCACTGTGGAAGGCAAGGGGGGGAAGTTTAAATAAAGAATTCGAATTTAGATCATGGCACTGTGGAAGGCAGGGAGGGGGGGGCGCAAGTGAGTAGGCTGGGGGGCGCAAGTGAGTATTGGAGGCGCAAGTGAGTAGTTTGAGGCGCAAGTGATCAGACGGCGCAAGTGAGAAAATTTTGGAGACGCAAGTAAATAGTTGACCTTCGAGAAGGTACCTTAAGGCGGCATCGAAATTTTCGAAGGTACCTTAAGGGGGCTTCGACAAAAGTACCTTAAGGGGGTCTTCGCCGAAGACTTCCAAGATACCTTAAGCGGGCTTGGACGAATTCTTCGAAGCCCCCTTAAGGTACCTTCAAAGCCCTCCAAGCCTCCTTAAGGTACCTTAAGGCGGCTTCGAGCGTTGAAGCCTTGGGGGGGAAGTTTAAATAAAGAGTTAGAATTTAGATCATGGCATTGTGGAAGGCAAGGGGGGGAAGTTTAAATCAAGAATTAGATTTTAGATCATGGCATAGTGGAAGGCAAGGGGGGGAAGTTTCAATAAAGAGTTAGGTTTTAGATCATGGCATAGTGGAAGGCAAGGGGGGGAAGTTTAAA